AAAGATCCTCACTGAACTTCTGGAGTGAGTTTGCTGCACTGAAAGTAAAGGGGCCGAATAATATTGCACGCCCCACTTTTCAGTTTTTTATTTGTTAAAAAAGTTTAAATTATCCAATACATTTCGTTCCACTTCACGATTGTGTCCCACTTGTTGATTCATGACAAAAAATAATGTTTTTATATATTTATGTTTGAAGCCTGAAATGTGGCGAAATGTTGAAAGGTTCAAGGGGGCTGAATACTTTTGCAAGGCACTGTAGTTTTGTTTTCGTGTAATCTGATTTTTAGCAGATTTAAGAGTTGGTGTACCGAACTTTTTTGTTTCATAAATAGCCACACCTGCATGTGAAAGCCAGATCCTGTCAGACCAATGAGGCTAAGCAGGGCAAGGCCTGGTTGGTTCTGTGATGGGAGACCTCTGGGAACATCAGGTGCCACAGTTGGGCGGCTGTAAAGGGCCAAATTGTCGTTGTGTCCTCAGGCAAGACACTTCACCCACTTTGTCCAGAATGAGTTTGGTGTGTGTGTGTGTGTGTGTGTGTGTGTGTATAGCTGGTGGTGGTCAGAGGGGCTGATGGCACATATGGTTGCCTCGCTTCTGTCAGTGTGCCCCAGGGCAGTGTTGTCCCAACAAAAAGAGTTCTCTCTGTCTTTAGAGTGCTGCCTTTATCTCATTAGAAAACACGCATTAGGGGGGCGGGGAATCCTCTCTTTTACTAAAAAACGGATGTAAACATGTGACAGACGCCAAAGATACATGTGAAAACTATTGTGAGAACTGGGATCTATAGCTACATGGAATTATTTTTATTTTTTCTCAAATCAAATCAATTTATTCTTGTATAGCCCTAAATCCCAACAGTAGTTGACTCAGAGGACTTAACAAAACCATTGAATTCACCAACACAGATCAGAGAATCAACAGTTCTTTCAAAGTAAGGTACTCTTGCTTTAACTTTACTTTAGATATTATTCACATACATGAAAGTGAGTGTTCTTTCCGTGTGCTGAAATCAAGATAACGTTAATGTTTGCAATAACTTAATTTTATCTCACCTCATTACTATGTTTTTCAGAGTGTGGCCACAATTCAAGACATTTTAAACTATCAATTCAAAATGCTACAAAATAAATTGAATAATGTTCCACAAACTTCTCGAATGACAGCATGAATCAAAGAACCCAGACAAGTTTTGATGCAGACTTCAGCCCAATTTTGTCCAGAGAAACTGGGCTCACAGCAGAACTTAAACTTTTAGCCCTTTTCGCACCAAAACTAGGTGAAAATAACACAGCGTTCATCATTCTAAATTCAAAACGCTCACAGGAGCAAAGGCCAAAGACACAGCATAAGGTTTCAATAAATGTTTAGCGATGGTGATGTCACACAATGAAAAGAAATGCATTTGAAAGAGATGTTATGAAATGTGTAGAAGGTGGAATACTAAAACTAATATGGGAAATACAAACATGTGGCTAATTGTTAAAAGAGTTAAGTCATCTGGTGATAAACAGATGAAGTTATTAATCAAAATAACAATGAAATCACACAAAAAAACATATAATCACACTTTTTTTTATAGAATATCAGAGTCCAAGTTTCATAGATAAGATAAGAGATACTTTATTGATCCTGAGGGAAAATAAAGTGATGCCGGCTGCTCTCATTCCTCATTCACACAGGTACACAATAAATAAGTGGCTATAATATATACTTAAAACAGTACAAAAGAACTTCAGATTGGCTGTAGGTGTGTGGCTAAATATGGACTTTGTGCTTGTTTCAGTTCTATAAATTACATAAAATCTTGGATGCGATCTTGTCAAAGGGCAAAGTCTGTGGGACCAGGTCTTTCCATCTCACATTTTCTCACCGAGCTCGATGGTACTTTTCCGTCTTCCTCTTTATACTGAGCACATCTGCAGAGTAGTAAATGTAAAGTGGGGTCTACTTCAGAGTATGATAAAGTCCTTATAAAACTCGGTGCCAAAAAGAGAGGAATTTGCAGACTTCTCTCGCAGGTGCTTTGGGTGTTTTCCAGCTTCAGGCCAAAAAGGCAAGAGGATAAAAAAACATGGGGTTGGTGATTTTGCCGGTTCATGATCCATCAGTGTGTATGTGATGCTAGTTAGGAGTGTGACAATACATCCATATGGTGATGTATTGTGATACTTTCTCACACACATTTTTTTTTTTGAAGCTTTACTCGAAAAAAAAGTATTGTTACTGAATATATGGCTACATTACGCATTCTACAATTTCTGTAGAATGTTCATATTGATTTTATTGGATGTGCGACAGATTAAGTAAGATTTTTACTAAAATGTGCAGGTAAAAAATGTTATCGTAGGTATATTTTTGACCAATATATTGATAATCGCTGCATCGTCATATCGTGAGATAATCGTTATCGTGAGCTTTGTATTGCACATCGTATCGTGTCGTGAGGTACCCCGAGGTTCCCACCCCTAATGCTAGTAGTGCCAACACAGGACATGGGTACGGTTAAAAAACACACACACACAGGGTAAAAAGTGTTATCTAATTACACTCACAAATACATATGCACAACCACACACACACACACACACCCACGCACACACTACCACACACACGCACACGCACACACATTCATTCTAAGCTCATATCACTCACTTTCTTTCACATATTCCTTCAGTGTTTTTGTTTTTGAATTTGAAAAAAGTTTGAACATGTTTCTAACCCTTTAATTAACATTCACTCCTTGAAGAAAATACAACAGATTTTCTAAGATGCAGGAGCAAGTTTTGTGTGTGTGTTTTTAACCCCCATTTTTATTCTTATAATAGGCCTTTACCAAATGTGTTAGATGCAGTTTGATGGTAAAAGTGTCTAAAACCAAGTGAGATGCCATGTGATTTCGATTCCAAGCTTAAAGTAGATATATTGACCCAAAAGGTGATCTTAAACTGTAATTATGGTGAGCATCCCTGTCATGAAATATGTTTTGTACATTAGGGGGCAGAGAGTTTTATATGACTAGTGTTAAAGTTGATACAAGTTCTATAATATGCTGTAAATTCTCCTAAATCTATACACCGTGAATCAAAATAATGTCTTTTATGGATAATCCTGAGGGCCTTCATGGACTGACCATCTCATACTGCCTCTATTTGGTTCCCATAGTAAACATTTGTCATAGTTTTAACATATAAAAGGCAAAAAGAAGTGGGATTGAGTCAAACATTTTAAAGTGAATATTTCCACCCAGGACAATGAACGAAAAGAGGAAAAATAGCATTGTTAGGTTAATAGAGTGATTTGATTGACAGTTAGAGACGATGAAAGGTTGCATTGTGGGTACTCAGATGTATTAGTTACGCAAAGATTTTCCTGTGTATCAAAAATAGAACATAAAACCGTGATCTCCCCCTGCTGCCCATGCTGTCCGACCTTGACATAACGGCCCGAACTGTCAGATTTTAAACACATTATTGAACAAAGTTATGTTATAGTGAAAGCAATTTAAGCTGACAAATGCACTTTCAATTTTTGTGGGAATGATAAAACAAATGAAGACAAATAGACTGATGGAGGACATGAGACTCAGGATAATGGAGCATGCACATTAGACATGAGTAACCAAAAATAAACCGCTGCTCAAAATCCAAAAAGGTTCTTTTGGCATTCGTCCACACCAAAATGAAGACCGTTTAAAATTGCTCAAGTCAACACGCATTAGTGGGCTCCCCTCTTCCCTCCGCAGTGCATTTGAACTCTCTTATCTTCTTGTGTTTCTGACCAGCGCTCTGCTCCGTGAGCGCTCTGTCTCTCTCTTCAGGACAATGTGTTTCCAATTATGGATCCTGTGAATATGGGGCAGCGGTGAATCATCCCAGAGATTTATGGAACGCTCACGTCTAACAGTGTTCAACCTTTTTGCACAAGCAGAAGGCCTCCTGCTGCAGAGGGCAAAAGTCAAAAACACACAGCACTTGACCCAGCGGACTGGAGTGCGTGGGGTCACTCCGGACCGTGATGAGCAGGTTTGGAGTTTGAATGCTAGCGGCGCAGAACGAGGCAAAATCAAGAAATGGTTTACAGTATAACGACATTTCTCATCAAGTTCTCGTAGCAATTCCCAGCATATTTTTATTCACATGAAAAGATTCCAGTTGGTCTATTTCTTGTAAACTTTGGGAAGAAATGCCTGTGTAGTGTGTGACTGAATGTGTGCTTCGATGAATGGGCCACAATTTTAGGGGGAAAAAACAGATTGAGCCTTTGATTCATAATATGGAAGCAGTGTGTTGCTCAGCTCTCCTTGAAGTTCAGCACAAACCAATGTTGAAAAATTTTAATTACGGGAAGAAAGATTTCATGTAACAAAAATGATTGTCTGTGCATTGCAATTACATAAACGTAGTAATAATATAAGTAAATACAACCGGCCTGGGTCCATAGTTCTTTCATCATGGTCAGCCCAAACTATACAGCTGAAGACTGATACTCTTGTCTGATCTGTGCAACAACCCATATCCATTTACCATCTGTGTGAGAATATGTTTAACAATCAATGATTGTTCAGGTAAGAATACAGTTGTGACAAAATATAATTGCTTGATATTGTCAAGTATAAAGCATTTTTCCAGATCTACCTTTTTTGGCATTTGCAGTTGGAAGACAAAGGATATGAAAGACATTTCAGTGAAACATAGTATGTTGGAGGTATAGTCACTTTGGGGGAGAACGTTAGTAGCAGCATTAATCTACAGCTTAGAAAAACAAAGTTTGGGAAATATGTGGTTCCTCTGGGAGTGCCAGAGAGAAAATGACTCCAAAGCCATAATCCTTCACTGTCAGTACCCCCTTAGATAACTCTTACGCCTGTAATGATAGTGCTTTGTGGTGGCCTCACATGGATAGGACCATTCATTTGTAGTCATCAACCAAATGTGAGCCGTGTGGACAGAGAACACATGGTCCATCCACAGGACAGCGATGCTTGAGGAGAGGAGATGTCCCATGAGATTCATTTCCTCTTCTCCTCCACTTATTTCCTGTCTGAGTTTGGGACGCAGTGGTCCCCATACCCAATAGGACATGGGACGGCACAGGCCCACGGGGGTCACAAGGCACAGAGTATTGCTTTTGGAATAGTATGTGAGGCAATCTAGATGATCCCAGAATTATTTGTTAAAATATCAAGACAATGAACAATGTTGGTATTTTGAAGTACAGTGACTTTTGAAGTGCCACTGTCATCCTACAGTTTGGGCCAAAGTGTGTAAGCTATATTTAATACTTAAAGTGGCGATAGTAGCTCAGTTGGTAGAGCATTGGCCTTTGGGTCGTGGGTTCGAGCCCGACTTTCATCATCAACTCCCACTGTCTGCTGTCGTTGTGTCCTTGGCAAGACACTTTACCTCTGGGAACACCAGCCACAGTGGGGCGGCTGTGGCTGTAAAGTGCCAAACTGCTGTTGTGTCCTTAGGCAAGACACTTCACCCCTATTGCCTAGAATGAGTCTGGTGTGAGTGTAGATGGTTGGTGGTGGTTGGAGGGGCCGATGGCGCATACTGGTTGCCTTGCTTCTGTCAGTGTGCCCCAGGGCAGCTGTGGCTACAGTAGTAGTTTATCACCACCGTGTATGGAGTGAATGAATTGAGTGTCCTGAAAAGCGCTATATAAAACCGACGCATTATTATTATTATTATTATTATTATTAAAAATACTGTGTCTTTGTCTGTTATATCCTGGAGCACAGGAAGACTGTGAATCAGCGACAGTGGCCTTTGGGCCTGACGGTTGGGGGTTCGAGCCCACCGCAAGATCTACTTCAAGACTCCCACTGATGACTGCTGTTGTTGTGTCCTTAGGCAAGACACTTAATCCCACTTTGCCTGAAGCCCCCGCTGGATGATCTCAGCTCCTGCAGACTCACCACCTGCAGGAGAATCAGTGAGGGGCTGGTGCTAAGTGTACTGGGTGCAGCTCTGACTGCCACCCCCCCCGACCCAGAAATGGATTAAGGGGAAGAAAATGGATGCATGGACTTCTGCTGTGAAAGCTGTCTGCACCTGCACCTCTTCAACTGCTGCTGAACAAATCATTTCCTGTAAATACAACAGAGCAGCTTGATGAGAGAACTATCTACTAATGAAACAAAAGCAGTTCAAGTTTACCCTGTCCTTAAGCTTGTCGATGACACCATGCCAACAGTTTGGGGTTTCATTTATATACATGGCAAAAACCGTGGCCCTAACATGGAGCCTTGTGGTGCTCCCATGTCACAATGTACTTGCTACAGCTTAAAAATACAACAAGGCTGTTCCACTCTGTCCAATCAAAACTAAACGACATGTTGTTTGAGCCACTGACACCGAAATGTTCAAACCAAAAGGATCAACATGAGGTTAGTGTGAAAGCAGAAGCGACGAGAGACACCGCTGATGAGAGCTCGTCATAATCAAAGCACATTTAGCGGATCGGTTTTGTGGTTTTCTGCAGCTGTGGTCAGTTTAGCTTGTGCTGAATGCTCCACTGGGGACTTGTCTCCGCTCTCTCTGGACCTAACACCTTACACATTGAATAAAAAAAGCGGCAGAGAACAAATGCGCGTTTTATGTTCTGTGCTGGGCTTATTACATGCAGGAAAAAGCTTCTCTAATTCCTGTGGGAGACGGAACAAGTTGTAAATTATCAGGCAATGAAAGTTTCCTGTGCAACTGCAGCTAAAACAAACCGAGCGATCCACTCTGTCTCTCACATCCTCCATCAAAGCAGCAGGAATTTTTATGAGGAAAGAAAAGAAGAGGCGTCAGGACTGAGAGGTACAGGATACAACAATGTCCCCACAGAGGCAACGCTAATCCAGTAATTGGATTTTGATGTGGTTATACGGGGACGAAACTGTTTTTTTTTTTCTCTACGCTTGTAAAGTTTATTTAAATATAAATCCGAGAACGCAATGTGACCCTTGTTTTTTGACATATTTACACCTATAGCTCATCACACCTACCCTCATCCCCAGTCCATCTGCCCTGCCTCAAGACAATGTCAAATAGAATGGTGCAATTAGAAGCATTCGCTACATGCACTTTCAGTAAAGCCCTTTGTGATCTTGGTCTATAAAAGTGTGCAATATCAACAAAGATTACTCACTCACTTAACTTTGTATTTTAATTGTCTTTAAATGTATTTTTTACTTAGATATATGAGTGTCTAAAAAAGTGCTAATAAATTGCATTATGTTATTATTTTTATTATTATTTATTTAAAGCTGGGGTACCTAACTTTAGACCACTGCATCATGTAATAAAATCCGTCATGTTCCTCGCTCTAAAACAGTTCAGTTTCATTACTGATCCAGTTCTTGTTTTGTTCAGCATTTTGAGTTGCCTGGTGTGTGAACTGTGCTATACAGATAACCTTGCCCTGCCTTGCCTATATGCATGTATATTTAAGGCTTTAGATCAGACATTTCAGACAGAAAAGTGAAAAACTACCTGCAGTAAAAGTATGTGGCCTGATTTGTTTACATTATTTTTTTATTTTATCAAGTCTCTCTTTGGAACAAACGACATGTTTTTTTTATTAATTAAGAAAACTCAATTGTTTATTTATTGTATTGCCTTAAGTCTGACTCTCCAACTTGTTAATGGCAAATCAATAATTTCTGAGACGTTTCTGTCGAGAACTGTTGTGAGTTTGGGCCAATAAAAAAAATATTGATTTGTTTTAAATTGAAATACATTTGACTTTAAGCGACATATTAAATAGACAAAGAATTTTATTGGCCATCTATAATTTAATTTAATAATTTAGATAAATGTGAGACTAACAGACCATGTATGTTCCTTATTGGCTAATCCATCTGTAGATCACACCCATCAGAGTTGTACTGCATATAGTTAAATATATGTATACATCATTCCGGGGTGGGGGCAAGGAGATATACTGTGTTAACATTACTGAACTTAGTCACACAGAGATGGCACATAAGGAATTGTGCTGATAAAATAACAAAAATAAGATTGCCCATAATTAAATGCAAGAATTAATAAACCATCAGATTAAACAAGAGGTCATAAGTCAATATAGGATAAATATTGTGCCTGTCCAAAGCCTGGATAAGTCAGTAATTGGCTGCATACAGTAGATTTACAGCTCGAAATGAGATGGATTTGAGAATATTGATGACTGCTATAAATGAAGCAGCCTTTGGAGGCGCACATTCACCAGTTTGTACGTTTGAGAAGTTATTAGGGAAATGACCACTGGCCATTTGAGCCCAGTGAGATTTATAGCACGCATTACTTTTTATACTGAAGGGATTTTACCGTTACTTCTAATAACTCGCTGTTAAACTGGAGTACAGTCGCCACCTGCTGTCCATACTCGGCATTACAACAAGGCGATGGAGATGTGTGTTTTATTGTATTCTTTTTTTTTTTTTTTTGACCAAAGAAGTATTTTGACCAAAGAAAACAGGCTTTAAACTCATTGCAGAAAGTCTTTTGAGTTTCCATGAGTACAGCTGGTTGTTTTTAGTCTTACCCGAGCTGGCCCGTTGTGGCATGGGCAGAGAGACGAAGCAGACCCCAGACCCCTCTCGGCACAAACACTCGCGGCCTTGTGCGCAGCTGCGGCCCGGGACTGTGTGGAGCCGTGTGGAGGCTGCGGCTCTGGGAAAGCTCAAGCAGAGGGCCACACCGGGAACAGGCAGGAGGCCCAGTGGAAGATGGGCTTCCAGGATGTGAGGAGCAAATATTATAGTCATACGAGTGTGTTATATTTATGCAGTTGGAATTACATTAGTTTCTCTAAAGTAAAGGTTTCACTGCAGGTTAGACACTATACAGTGGAGACGTCTGCTGGGGTTACTCAGAATAGAATAATTATTGTAATTTCAGAGATAGTTTTTCATAATTAAATGCTGGAATGTGGAATGTTGTTATAGATTCATTGTTCCAACGTATGGTTGGTTATGAAAACATGTTGCAAATTACAGACATGTTTGACATGTGCAAAATATGTTTACATACTGTACATTTTTCAAATTTAAAATTTCCTTTTGAACAATGAGTCTAATTACGGAGCCCTGCAAGGGCCAGGGGTAAAAAAATAAATAAACTGTGAGCACAGATTATTAAACTGTGCGCACAGATTGTTAAACTGTGCGCACAGATTACAGCACGTGTTATTATAACAGACTGTGTTATAAAAGTACAAGCTGCCCCCTGGTGGGAGTAATAAGCAACAATGATATTTTCTTGAAGATGTGTTTTGATGTATGAAATATTTTTAAGAAAATTACTAAATGTATCATTTTTATGGCATAATATTAGAGTGTATCCAAATACACTTAATAGAAATACTGCACTATGACTATACTATTACTGCTGGATTGAATGACTTGTGTTAGTGAAACTACGTGTTTATGTAGTTGCAAAACACTGTCTTGCTTTAATTGGATATATATATTCTGAAAAAACATTAAATGCATTTTTGCACATATTGTTCTTGTAAATTATAAAAGGACAAAACACCACTTAGAAACAAAAACTGTTGTGTAAATAAATAAACTGTATTCTTGCCACCACAGCACAACAACTGAATACATGCATTTCACTGTCTGTAAATAATTGAATAATATTATAAAAGCTTGAGGCTTGTGTGCATCTTTGGGCTTTGAATCGTCTCATGGTGAGTGACTAATGCAGTGTGGTCAGACCTCCACAGACATCAGTGCTGCTGCTGTGGCAGAGATAACTGGGGGTGGCATGAGGCCACGGCTGACTCTGCAGGAACACGCCTTGTGGCCGTCGCAGACTGAGCCGAGGAGCAGGTGGACCAGAGACCTGACAGTGAGCATCAGTGCACACGTCGTCAAGTAATAACCATTGTCAGCAGTGAGTTTGGTTTTACCCAATCACACATGACTGGATTCCACTCTGATGTGAGAATTTACTGACATCTTGTGGGTATACAGTGGAAGGACCTGATGCACGGTCAGTATATTTCCAGGAATTTTACGCAGTAGTTTCAAAATGACATCAAAGCTGGGGTACCTAACTTGTTTGAATTCTTAAATAATACTTGCATATAGAGTCTTGTGAAGTCGTAAAACAAATCAAACCATAAGATGCTGTATTTATCTCATTATAGAACATCTTTTTCATACTTAGAATGAGCGAGATACTTATGAGTCACTTTTTTGGGCTGAGAGCTGATTGGCCGGGAGTGAGGGTGGTCTTTTCACTTTCCTGTCTTTGACACATAAACAAATGCATGATTGTGAAAACTAGACATTGAACCAAACTGTTTAAAACAAGGTAGTGACCACTTTAAACGTGTGCGATTTAAAAACAAATCCTCACAAATCCAACTGAGAACCAACGTTTTCAGAATTAAAGTTAATTCCTAAAGTATCACACTCTATCATAAAAGCTTAAAAACCAGGTAACCAAAGAAATCTTGATGCTTTATTTTATTGTTTTATTTACAAAAGGAAGCACTTTCCCATTGATTATACGGGCAGTGTGTAACTACTTTTTGAGCAAAAACAAGTTACTGCATATGGTCGAGTATTGCCATGAGTACACTAGACTCACTCCAACCTGTACTACTAGAGTTGCACGTTTAAGTATAAAAATATGTTTCATACTATTCATTCATAATAAAATCCTTAATCAATATTTCTTTTAATCAACACGTTCTTAAAATGTTGCAATTTTAAGACATGTCCAATAGCTTTGTTCTCAGCAAGCTAATAAAAACGTCGCGGCATTATTGCATTGTCACATATTTTTTGCATTAATATATAGTCATTAAAGGAGTCTGTAAAAGCTGGTGCACTTGCCATAGGTGTCCAGTAGAGGATGCTGTTGAGTTGTAGCCGTCCTTGTTTCTATGATAAATATGACTCTTGTGGCTCTCCCTACATCTCATTTCTTACCAAACAGGGCAGTGTGGTAAACAAGCAGTTATCTGTCCTAGACCATGTGGTTCCCGTTGAGTTTAGTCCACTCATAGATGTCCTGCTCACACACTATGTCCGAGTTGATGAGCAGGTAGCGGTCGCCCACGCAGAAGTGCTTTTGGCAGGCAGCACATTTGAAACACTCCAGGTGGTACACTTTGTCCCGCACTCTCATGGTCATCTCGAAGGCTCGGATCCGCTTTTCACAGGAAGCACAGAGTCCGTCCTGCCCGAAGAGTCTGCAAAGACCACATCATGCAGGGTTTAGTGAGGGGCTCTATGGACACCAGTATAGACCAGTGGTGTCTTAGTCCAGGACACACAGTAGGCCAACACTGTGGTTCTGGCTCAGGTTTATATTTCTTGAAATGCATGCTGGGACTTTAATTGTTTTATTCAATTGTTCAAATGTTCTATTAGTGGACCAACAATTGTATACAATCCTTTGAGATGACTGTTCAGACATGTATTAGATTTTTCTTTTAAAAGCTTGTAACAAACAGTGCAGTTAATAACACTACATAGGTTAACCATTCAAAGTTTCAGAAGTGCTTCATGAGAGCATGAATTCAGGACACTTTCTATACAGAGACCTGGCTTCCTTCAAATGCTTTCCTGCTATGTTATTGTAATTATTGTATACTATTATGTTATTGATTTTAGTTTAGTCCTCTATCTAATGTTCCAGGGCTCAACCCTTTATCATAACATTTCAGATAAACGGCTCTAACTAACACATTTAAACGCAGACTGAAGATTCCAAAATAACCTCAGACAAACATTTCTTGACTCGAAATTATTATGCATCCATCTATTTTCCTCTGTTTTATCAAATGCAGCAGAGCAGAGACGCCCAGACTTTCCTATCCGAGGCCAGCATGTCCTGAGGCCTCCTCCCCAGTGATCTGTCCAGGAGGCATCCCAAAACAGATGCCATCCCAGCTGCCTGCTCTAGATGTGGCAACTCTCTCCACCAAAATTGCTAAATCACTGTCATGAACAAATGGACCTAATCAAGAAAATGATCATGCATCTAGTAACAAAACAAATGTCTGCGTAAAGATAGACCCTTCTCCTCTAACAGTGGCATCTATAGAATATCTATTATGAATATACGCACCTCAGGTAGTCCCTCCGGCAGAGTTTCCTCCCCAGTTTGTAGTAGAGTCTACGGCCCACCTCCCCGAGCCGACAGCCGCACAGGTCACAGCTGAGGCAGTCCTCGTGCCAGTACTGCTCTATGGCCTTCAGGAAGAAGCGGTCCCCAATGCTCTGCTGGCACCCCCCACAGGTCAGGAGAGAGGGGGGCATCTGCAGCACCTCGTCCACTGGCTCTCTGAAAACACAGAACAGTGGTAAATGAAGGAGAAATATCCATCCATTTTCATCCCCTCACTGCTCCCTGTGCAAGTGGTGGGTCCACAGGAGGAAGGGGAAATATTTCGTGGCCCAAGATGATCTGATGAAGGTCATAACCAAAACCTCATGGGGCTCAAGTAAGATTTTCCAATTAGAAGACTGCATGTTGGGATTTGATTTGTTCACATGTTAATTTAACAAGACTCCTTCTGTTGGATTAAGTTAGGTACCCCTGCTTTAAAGACAAAAGTTTATATATAAATGGATTATAATAGATCATATATCAGAATATCAGGCCAAGATAAAAATTTGTTGCACACTAACACAAACATTTGCTGGCTTATAACAACACAGAATGTCAATTAGTTTTAACTTTTACTCCAATAAGCCGTATACTTACTGGAGACAATAATATTAGACCTATGTTTGTATGACGTAAGCTGTAATTTGTGGGAGAAAAAATGTAAATAAAAAACTTATTACAGTTCCCTTATTTTAACCTTATGTTTTGGATTAGCCCTAATCATAACAATACTTGAATACAGTGTAATATGTGGATAATGTGTTTGAATAAAAAAATATACCTTTTTTCTCAGTAAAACAAAGTCCCAATAGTAATTAGTTAAAGAAAGGAGCCATAATCAAGCTGAATGAGGAAAAGAATGAACAACACACTTCCAAATTGACTTCTTCAGTATTGGGTGTTTTGGAATAATAGATTGTGTCATTGAACTCTGGGTCAGCCCTCGCTGCACAGGAAAGAGGAAATGGAGAGTACATATGAGTCAGGGTTGGCGCCTGCAGAGCCTACTAATAAACTAAACTTAACATTTCAAACAGAAAATTGTAAAAAAAATAAAAAAAATAAAAAAATCCACAATTAAACAATAACCTATTCAAAATGATGTATAGAAAATTCTGAATGACAAAGTATGAGCCAAACATAAGCAAACAGATACAAAGCATGTGCTGTCTTACGTTATCAAGTAAGGTGTACATTATGAGTTGAATAATCACGATTACAAATATCAATGTTCGATAATCGCAGATCTACAACCATTGTGATATGCCTTTATGTAATTCTCTTCACACAACTGTACAATGCAACTATAGATCTTAAAATATTCCCTTCTAATAGTACTCAAGCCTGCATCTTGGCCAGCGCACGCCCCCTTCATAGATTCCGCGTCCTTGGTTACATTGTAGAAATCACGTTATTATGGGTAACTCACTCATTGGCCTCCAGCGTCTTCCTCTCTATGGCAGACGACATTTGACAGCCTTTTATTTTGCTCCGATCCGGACAGAACCGGTGTCAATGCGCACACACAGACAGTTCCACCAAGCACTGCACCTGCTCCACGCACGAAACCAAGGCGCGCACCGGTCTGTCTCCAGCGCTATAAATGAAGAGGGGAGTCCGTCGAAATGGCCGCAGGACAAGTGTTTAGCGGAGTGATGGTGGTGGAGGAAAGCACACTCATTATTTTCTGAGGCTGTGACACCTTTAACTCATCCGCTCCAAACCCGCTGGAGGACGCGCGTTCCCAGGCGTATAGCGCGCGTTGGTTCGTGCGCAATGTTCTGTGGTCGTTCTCCTTCGCGCAAAAGCCGCTGTTGTTGTGTATTGTGAAGCATCGCGGCTTAAATACGTGTCTCCCCCCGCCTACCCACCCTCCCCCCTCTCCCCCCTCTCCCCCTCTCGCCCTCTCGTTTTGGTCTTCCTGCTCACGACTGTTGGACAATGGGGGGAAATGGGTCTTAAAGCGACAGAGAAAGGGCCCTGTCTGTGCCGTGGTGCGTGGAGTGCGGGTCGTGACTGAGGCTGATCACTTCATTACATGCTTCGTTAGACTAATGACGCTCAGCAACACAGGAATAAAGACCATACAGACCATTGACAAACCTGTCCAATTCTTCTTCTTTGCTGACGTGCCTTTTTGATCCCAAACTACTTCAATATTGGGACCATGAAAAGTGTGGTGCAGCTCAACTGTTAGAATGAAAATCTATCTTGATCTTGTTTTATACATCATAAACCAAAAAGATATAAAAGAGGACACATGGTGGAGAGAGAGAGACCAGAGAGAGACCAGAGAAAGTGATCAGAGAGACCAGAGAGAGTGACCAGAGAGACCAGAGAGAGTGACCAGAGAGAGAGACTATATGAGAGTGACCAGAGAGAGAGAGAGAGTGAGAGAGAGACCAGAGAGAGAGAGACCAGAGAGAGACCAAGAGAGACCAGAGAGAGACCAGAGAGAGAGCACGGAGAGACCAGAAAGAAACCACCAAGAGAAATTGGTGTTTGACTGGCACCAAATGGAGTAAAAAAAACGACTTTATTCTATGACATGATGAAAGTTAAAACAATTGAAACAGACATTCAGTTTAAAGCTGGGATGCCTAACTTTCAAACCACAAAAATATTCCTCGCTCTCAAATCAGTCTCCACATGCATGGCCTGTGTAACATGTGTACATCCACTTTTTCAGACAGAAAAGTGAAAAAGAGAGGACCACCCTCACTCGGCCAATCAACTCTCTGCCCAAAGCGTCAACTGTTATAGTCTGACTTCTGCACAATATTTGAGATAAAATGTTGGGAAAAAGAACATTATTTGTGAAAAAAATTAAAATATTGTAAGGTACTGTGGCTGTGGCCTTGCTCTGGAGGATCTGTGCTTGATGCGGATCATGATCCCCAGGACCTAGATACTGGTGGTGGCAACAGAGCAAGGTGGATGCGAGAGTGTGAAGAAATCCTGTGGTGGAGGAGGTGGTTGCGGACTGGTTTGCAATGTCCAGCTTTTCAGCACTGGCTTGATTAGATGCTGGCAGGGAGTTGATGAAGCTGTTGTGAAGGACCATCCAACAGCGAGGACAGTGAGTTTGAGGAGGAGAATAAGGAGAGAAAGAGAAGTTAAAAGATCAGGGAACAGCATCAAATAAATATTAAGTAAAATATTTGTTTTTGTAAATATTTGTTTTTCCTCTAAAATGAGAAGTCAAGCCTTGGACGGTTGAAATAGTGAATTTGTATCCATATCCCAAACGAATGATAATAATCATAATAAATAATAAATTCATCCTAAACAAAAGGATGTTGTGTTATTTATGTAGTCTACAGTATATCGTGCGTACAGTAGTGTATGCATTTGCTTTATATTGTGTCCTGAGTTGACTAACAAATAAACTGCTTTAATGTTGTTAAAGCAGCCATGTGGAAGAAGAATAGGCCGACACTATGTTTCCACATAGTCAGCCAGCCCTCGCAGCAGGGCTTAGCTGCTGTTGGTCTGCTGTTATCTGCTGCCAGCACCAGAGGGGGGGCAGGACCCCACAGCAGTTGGCCTGAGCTCCAGGAGATAAAGCTCCACAACTGCGGAGTCCAAAGAGCCTCTCTGACAGATGCAGGCACTAATTTCAAATGTGCAGCTCCCTGGGCTAAACCGGGGCTGGACCGGTCTCAGACTAAGCAGAGACGCCCAGAGTAAGGTGAAGGCCGCAGAGGGAGCAACGTGAAACAGAAGAAACTAAAATCACTTCCCAATGAACATACACACTGTCCTGTAAGTAAAAGTACAGACACACAGAACAACACACAGAAACACCGCACATTTCGTGTTTGTGTAAACTGATATGTTTACATTAGTCCTCTGTTCGACAACTTTGCAGCTTCACAATATATGAATTTAAACCATGCAAGTACATTATTTACAATTTTAAGCCTAAAATAGAGCTCAAAATGCAATTCCCAAAACGTAAACTTATTTATTCCATCTTTTCTGGAAACACAGAAAGCTATAAACAAAAATATAGCTGCAATTTGACTCACTAATGGAAGACATTTGACCTATGTGTTAAGGTTGGGTGTGAATTTTCCTTTTGTTAATTGCTCTGAAGCTATAAAGCACTTATAAATATGTTACACCTTTATGTGAACCATTCAACTTCCTGCAGAGGGAAGAGGATGTGAGGCTGTCAGCTCTATCAGATCGACATGGGCTTCATATGGCTCACCCTTGTTATAGCGTTTACTTGTGCACATATGCAGTGGTAATCACGAATCAGTGAACCGTATAAACATGACTTTGTAATATTTAACACCTTTATTCTAAGATAGTTTTAACAAATACAGAGTGAAAACAGTGTCACTTGGCTTCTTTTTTCCTCGCATCTATGAGCTGCACCGGAGTTCACAGAGAATATGGTGCTCAACATTCTTTTCCTCATCATCACAAATGAGAAAAACTTTTATTTTTTTATTTGTTTGGAGAATTGCACAAAAGGACATGCAGTAAGGCTGACAAATTAATACAGAAAAGGGTCATTTATAAAGGATGAAAGAGAAAGGAAAACACTTTCAAAGATAGTGGCGGTCGACTTGTGTCTGTTTGCATGTTGTAGATGGTGGCGGAAACCGGAGCGCCCAGAGGAAATCCACCCAGACATGGGAAGAAACATGCAAACTCCACACAGGCCACACTGGGATCTAACCCACAACCTTCTTGCTGTGAGTCGTGAGTTATACCCGCTGTGCACCATGCATCCAAGTATTCCAAGCATTTCTTTGGTCTGGACCATGACTGGAAACATATTTTTGTGAGAAAACAGTAGTGGATAATCAGACCATAAGACACTTGCAGTTTAGCTCTAATGTTATTTATACTAAACCAGCACCAGTGTTAGGAAGAATACTTCGACACTGACCAGGCCAGGAGGTAAGGATCTTTTTGTGGGCTTTTGAAGTCTGGAAGTGGCCGAGTGAGACCTGATTAAAAAAACTAAATCATCTAAATCAGCCGTGTTATATAGAGCATGCATTTATCAAAACAAGGTTATGTTTTCAAGTCATTCTATTTTCTCAACGTGAACTGACACTGGACAATAATATAATATGAAACAGTTTAGTCAAAAGTATATAGGCCAGTTATAGGCCAGTGCTCAATGTGGGGCTCATGCCCCTCTGAAGGGCCTCAGAGCTATTGAGAGGCCACCAAAAGTGAAACATAAAGGAAATCTACAAATATGTTATTTAAATGACTACATGTATAATGATCTATTTTGGTTAATTGGTTTCTTCTTCTTCTTTTCTAATCATAATTTCATTGGGAGATGAGAGAAATAAATAATGGGGGACTCCCCAGACTATAATAAGACTATTTGACACATTTTTTCACAACAAATTTGATTGTTACCTTATAAAATTATTACTGTTCACATTCAGTCTCATATGTGATGCAGCTCAATACCGCCACCTGCTGAAAATAATGTAAAACAACAGCTGAAGTATTGTAAGAGCATACTGCTTTCTGTAAAGGTTTTGACTTTCTTTCTTATCTAGGCCTTGCCTTATATCCTCCAATAACCTATTCTAAGCATTAGTAAAAATGTGTCTTCAGCCGAGGAATATAGGCGCATAAATATCCAAGATTACAAAGTATTAGTAAGGCATATTGCGAAATGGATTTTCAACTTTAATGTCAAATATGGCTCATTTAGAAATAAGAAGCATTCAACTATGAAGAGGGATTTTAAGTGAAAGTCACAAGTCTATACTTTCACTTTTGTTTCATGTCTGTAAAGTCGATGACTCACCATCAATAGGCTGCTGTCGGGAAACAAGAACATGTCTTAGTTGTGTTTGGGAAATATACTTAACATTTTATTTTACTCGATGTTTCTCTATGAAGTTGAACGTCAGAATGGTGCCCCAGTTATAAATGAAATGCAATGAGGTGCCAATACTGTGGCAGCCATTGAATTTATAAAAACCCACTCCCAGGCTAAGGACAGAGCCACATGTTATTATTATAATGCATTCATGGTCAGAGCTCAGTGGAACAGCTGCATTCTGGTTGTATGAACAGCTATCACAGAACACAGCTGTATAAGGACAGAGTGAACAACGTGGACACAAGAGGACAGTGTGATACCTAAACTCTGTAAGGACAGAGTGGACACACATGGGCAAAGTGGACAGACAGGACACTAGAGCAAGATGCCTAATCAAAGCTAATGATTGTGCAGATTTTCTTTCAAAAGGTTATTCATAAATATGCCTGACTACAATTATCAATACACAAAGATTAAATAAAACATGTCACGATAGTTATATCCTTATAATAGTTGTATTATAGAACTTAATGTGAAATATATGTATTTCTTCAGTTGTAAAAAAAAAATGAGTCAATATTGGTATATTTTTTTATTCAGGCATATCCCTGCCTCCTAAACACAGACCTTCGCCTTTATAAAGAGTCTCTCCATCTTCAGGACCGTCTCAGTTGTCGGTGAGGCCGGCGGGGCGGATCCCACTTTAGTCAAAGACATAATAAAGCAACACAACAACAATAACAACTTGGCTCATTCCTACCTTTCCTCTAAAAGCTCCCCTGTGGATATAACACATTAAGGTGGGTACATCCGCGCTCCTTCTTCCCGAAAACTAGAGCCCCAGCCGGCTACACGCTAGCACGTTGCTGTACCACTCTTGCTAACAGCGCGGTCTGTGCTAATAGCTCCTTCAGAGGCCAGGGGCCGATTCTATCAAAGCTCGAGCATAAAGCTGACAAATCTATCCCTCCACTGGCTGTGTGTAGGTGTACGATGACACACCTTAGTTGACAGTGAATATTCAGAAAACAGGGTTCAGAAGATCACAGCTGGATATGGTGCTGAAGTTTCTCCGTCAAAATAAGATTTTGTGTTTCTAAAATGGTCCGATTTGCGTGCTTGCTGTGAAGTTTCTTAAATGCTGTGACTGACGTTTCTGTTCTCAATCAATATGAAGAATGCGGCAAATGTAACTGTAAATCCATGATCTCAGAATCATCACATCTTTGGCAGATTGCTGACTGGAAGCCTGTATTTGATTCATGTCATTGCTCCACTTGGTGTGAGATGTTGTATCTGTTTGTACGTCTTCTTTTGCATCAGAGATTTAATCTTATGTCTATGTTGTGTTATAGATGCCATCTGCAATGAACGCGAGCAGGTCAGTGCAGAATGCCAGCCCAGAGGTGGGATCCGCTCCAGGGTCAATGGGCTGTGCATCTGGACAGTCTGACGTTTTAAAACAAGTGTTGGGGGTCATTGATAAGAAAGTCCGCAACATGGAAAAGAAAAAGGTAGGTATTGTGAATTATCTCCGCAAATGCTATCGGACCATTTCTCCAAGTGTAACTGTTTTTATAACAGGGCAAACTGGATGACTATCAAGTCCGAAAGGACAAAGGAGAGAGTCTGAATCAGGACCAGCTGGTAAGAACAAAATCCCCAATTTCTGTTCATATATTTCTACAATTCAGAATAGTAAGTCTTTTTTTAAATGTCCCACGTGGGACTAAGACCTTTATTTATTTACCAACATTAGAAATACCATGAATGTAAGTGTGTGTTACAAGAGCGTTATGACAGATCCAGTACGCACCCATTGTGTAGTTGCTAGTGCAGCAGTGGTTTTTGTTGACCTAAATGTATGCCTAACCATACTAATTTTTGCGTTTTTCATCCAATTTAGGAAGCACTCGCGAAATATCAGGAAATCCAAAATAACTTGGAATTTGGTCGCGATTTGCAGAAGATGTTTATTCAGCTGGGACAAGATGTAAGTTTATAACATTTTTAATACTTCTGTCTTGAACTTGTTACAGTTTTAACCTGTATATTTCTTTATTTCCAGATTCAGAAGGCTGTAAAGAAGACCTCACGGCGGGAGCAGCTGCTGCGTGAGGAGGCCGAGCAGAGACGACTGAAGACCATTTTGGAGCTGCAGTTTCTCTTGGACCGACTCGGAGACGACACGGTCAGGCAGGACCTCAAACAGGGATTGGGAGGTTCTCCATTGCTCACAGACACGGACCTCACGGCTCTAGATGAGTTTTACAAACTGGTGGGGCCGGACAGGGATCAAAATGTCAGGTCTGTAGGTTGATATTGATTACATTTCATGAGCCTTTACATTTTAAGCCTGATTTAAATGTATTATTGTTGTTTTTTAGATTGTTTGACCAGTATGAGGAAGCATCGGTTCACCTCTGGGACCTGCTGGAAGGACGAGATAAAGCCGTGGTTGGTACAACATGTAAGTAACATCTAAACGCTTTTTATTCTCTGCACCTGAAGCTGGTACAGATTTGTTTTAGTTTTTTTTAGACCCCCTGTTTTTGCCTTTTCTTCTGAATTTATAGAATTGATTTTTGTTGTTGAATTATATGCTAAGTTGAAAAGCTGCAGTTTGTGAATTTGAAGCCTTGTTCATTTGTATACAAGTCACCTGTAATGACTATTGTTAATAACTATATAATACATAACTCTTTTTTTAATATGAACTAATCTTCTGATGCCAGACTGACTCTTGAGGACTCTGCTGATGTGTAACTGTTTGGCAAAACCCATCATCAGTGAGCTCTTTGTCTGGTTGTTTTTTTGTTTTACCATAATATGATTAAGTAATGCACTACTTGGTACCAGAAGGCTCAAGTCATAATGTTGATTCATGTAATGCATTTGGCTTAGAGCTGTGAGGGTACTCATAGTTAAAAAGCTCTGTTCACGGTGCTTTGCATTCTGGGTCGTCTGTCCTGAGACTTTCCCATCATGCCCCAGGATTGTGCTCTGGGCCTGTCCTGACTCAGCACCAGTGTCGCCTGCTCCCATTGGTCAGGGCTTTGATCAACGCTCTGATATTGTGGGTGACCCAGTTCACTGCAGCAGAGAAGGGCCTTTTCATTTTGGGAACCTGGGGTCAAACTGAATCTGCAGTAGATTCTGCTCCTCACTGAGGGAGGCAACTGTCATTAAAGCTCAAAGTGGAATGCTGCAATGTTTATTACAGTTCCACAACATTCTGTTGATTCTCATGCAGCAGGGTGGCTGAGTGACACAAGTTTCTCATAAAGCAGGTCCTGGATTCTATTCCACCTCTAGATGAGACCTTTCTGAATGGAGTTGGCATGTTCTCCCTGTGTCTGTGTATGTTTTCTCTGAATGTATTTCAGTGAAATCAGGTTAGGTACAGGTGGTCACACTTTATCCAATCAAGATCTACTTCTCCAGTAACCAGTGAGCTGACGTATACCTCAGTTATAATGTGGGAAATGATTCAGAAATCTTACAATTTGGTGCTACTGCATTCATTATACACACAGATGTATTGCAATCTATCAAGCCACATGCCAAAGTTGAGGATTTTGTCTTAAAACTATTCACTCATTTGTGTGTGTGTCTAATGTTGGCTAATGTATGGGGAAGAAAGCCGAGAGAAATGCACACCTGCAGAGAGTGACCGTAACGCCTGTGCAGGGCTTTTGTCTGTGCCATGTAGTACGAGTACGCTGACTCCCAAGAATGCACTGTCAAAGCGGCGTTGATCAGCTGTGAAAGTGAAACGCAGGAAATGATCATTTCTTAAAGTTGTGAAATGCATGGAAAGACAAGCTTCTCGCCCTGTCTTCACCTTTGACGTATGGAGCTCCCCTGAGTTAAGGCAAAGGGCTCCCACTGTCATTTCTCTAGTTGTATTTTGCACCTGTGTAAACCTTGATCCACAAGAGGAATGGACACACTAGTTGACACAAAAAAAACCAAGTTTGTTTTCTGAATCATATTTCCATTGCTTGTGTTTGCATCCCTCTGTCAGAGGGACTGTTATGAGTCTTAAGTTAATGAACTTTTTCTTCATTTCAGGTCAGAAATCCACTGTCGTAATAAATTTGTGTTTGATTTTTAAACAATATGATTGCTGTGCTTCTTCCAGACAAGGCGCTGAAGGAGACTCTGGATCAGGTTCTTTTAAGTGGATACTTTGACAGAGTTCAATCTCATCAAAATGGAGTTTGTGAAGAGGAAGAGGAGGAAGAACCCATTGCAGCTGCAGCAGTCACTGAATCTTCAGAAGTAGAGGAGCCCCCAGTGGATCCAGGTGACTGTAAACAACTTTAGTTTAATGTATTCTCAGGGTTCAAAGACAAACTAATGTTTACCTTTGTTCAGAAGCAGAAATGATCGAAGAGTTCACAGAGCCAGTTTCAGTTGAAACAACAGAGGTATTGTCACTTGTTGTCTGCCGCCACATAATGAATTCAAACTAATGTGTATTTGCTTTTTGTCCAGTTTGTAAACAGACAGTTCATTCCAGACGCTGCATACAGCAGTAGTGACAAGGAGCAGGGGGACGAGTGGACCACTGATTCAGAGGTAGGTCATTAATGAAAATAACTATATTAAAGGAAACTGTTTCACATTTAATTTGTGTGTTTGCGTTGCAGACAGTGGGTGTGATGCAGGCGCCGCCCGTGGTGCAGTCCACTCCTTCACCTGTTCCCCTGGAGACGCACCCCCTGAGTTTAGCCCCTCCGGCTCCACAAGCCGACCCGATGGCCAGAAAGCAGGTGGTGCAGGACCTGATGGCACAAATGCAGGGGACGTACGACTTTATGCAGGTCAGAAAGAAAACTAAACAGTGATGCGTAGCGACTAGTGATCCCTGATGACTGATGAACCTCTTGATCCAGGACTCTATGCTGGAGTTTGACGGACACTCCATCGATCCTGCCATCGTTTCAGCCCAGCCAATGAAGCCTGCACAAAACATTGACATGCCACAGATGGTTTGTTCTTCGGGTAGGTGACAATTTACTATTTACGTTAAAATTGAAACAAATGCATCTACTGACTAAATGTTTCATTAAAGTTCACCCAGAATCTCGACTAACGCAGCCAAACACAGTTCCTGTTCCGCCTGAGCCATCGCAAGTGAGTATCACGACTCTGTTAACAATTTAAAGCAATTACAACATACAATAAATTGTTATGTATAAAGACTGGATTTCCAAAAATGCTTTAAAAAGGGGCTTTATTGATCAAATGGAATTCCCAAAACGCAGCTCAGTTACTCGCAAAATTGACTTGTTGACATGAAATGTTTTGGACACAGGTTTTTACAAAACTCAAAGCCTTCAGCGTGGAACTCTGCTAGTTCCATGGTTAGTTTGGTTTGGTTCCAATGACGCTCCTCCCTGTCCCATCATTTTACATTTCCACAAGCGATATTCGACTTTAGACAAGGGGTCTGCAAACCTCTTGTTATCGAAAGTGCCTGGACAATTGTCTGGAGCTGCGACATAAAACACATACGCTTTTAAAGGTGTATGTATTTTACTAGTTACTAAAAACTCATAAAGCTTGAATACCTATCACTTTCAAACCAAATAAATTGAAAGTTTATTATTATATATTCTACTCATTCCTGACTCTAAAACGGACATCAAAGTAAAAAAGAGGGGACCACCATCAGTCAATCAGCTGCGAGGCCGGGGACTTTGAAATGAAGCGCTGGGTCAAATATTGGTACAGCTGTGATGCTCCGAGGGCGTAGGAGTCAAAGGTTTTTGAACTCTCCTGTCAGGGTCATGTGTATAATAGATGCATAGTAATAATGCACTCTCAAACATGCAAAGGGATCTGATCTAGTCCATACAATCACGTGATAACAATAACACTATTATGTAGATCGATTTGTATAGGAATATTATTTGTTGAAGTCATTTTTTGGAAGAAATCTTGTATCCTAGGTTCCTATTGTCTCTGCAACGCCACCCCCTATGTACCAGTCCCCACACACGACAGATTCCCACGCCTCTGCAGAGACGATTGAAATCCAGGTGATGTAAAGAAATATCAGTCGGAATACTTTTATCGATCAATACTAATGATGTTTTCTGTTGCTGTGGATCAGGACTCCATCTCGTTGTCTTCGGACCAGCCGCCCCCTTCCGCAGCACTAAGCCCCGCCTCCCAAACACAGGTTTTTCAGCCAGTCGCCAAAGCACCTCACAGCGGTGGCATCAATGTCAACGCTGCACCATTCCAGTCAATGCAAACAGTAAGATGTTGATTATTGACAAAACTCGGTTCATCGATTTTATTGTAACAGCCTAACCCTTATTTTAGTATTCAATTTAATTGTTAACTGCTCTATGTGCTCAGACTCGCACACATAAATTCACATCTCTGCAAATATAACTCTCAAACGGCACACATGAAAAATAAATGGGTATGTTATTGTTTGTTTTTAATGATCAGACAATTTTATTAGACTGTCCTCTGGGTGCTTTATCCACGTCAATGAGACAAAATCCATTGTTAGCTACTGCCCGAATTTCTTTACTATTATTACTGTATTCTGAACGTTTGGTTCATTTTATCTGCTGCTCTTTTTCGTCAAGCTGTTTGGTTGTATATTATGCCCAATAATGCATCATTGACATCGCACAGGCAATGCCATTTTAGCCACTACTTAACATTTAAATTAAAAAGTTGTCATCTCGGCGTGATAAGAAATATGATACAGAAGCTAAGTGTACACAACAATGCCGTGAATATAGGCAGGATATACACTACCTTGCAAAAGTATTTGAACCTTTCAACATTTCGCCACATTTCAGGCTTCAAACATAAAGATAAAAATTGTTTTTGTCAAGAATCAACAAGTGGGACACAATCGTGAAGTGGAACGAAATTTATTGGATAATTTAAACTTTTTTAACAAATATAAAACTGAAAAGTGGGGCGTGCAATATTATTCGGCCCCCTTGCGCTAATATTTTGTAGCGCCACCTTTTGCTGCAATTACAGCTGCAAGTCGCTTGGGGTATGTATCAGTTTTGTACATCGAGAGACTGGAATTCTTGCCCATTCTTCCTTGCAAAACAGCTCGAGCTCAGTGAGGTTGGATGGAGAGCGTTTGTGAACAGCAGTCTTCAGCTCTTTCCACAGATTCTCGATTGGATTCAGGTCTGGACTTTGACTTGGCCATTCTAACACCTGGATACGTCTATTTGTGAACCATTCCATTGTAGATTTGGCTTTATGTTTTGGATCATTGTCCTGTTTGAAGATAAATCTCCGTCCCAGTCTCAGGTCTTTTGCAGACTCCAACAGGTTTTCTTCCAGAATGGTCCTGTATTTGGCTCCATCCATCTTCCCATCAATTTTAGCCATCTTCCCTGTCCCTGCTGAAGAAAAGCAGGCCCAAAGCATGATGCTGCCACCACCATGTTTGACAGTGGGGATGGTGTGTTCAGGGTGATGAGCTGTGTTGCTTTTACGCCAAACATATCGTTTTGCATTGTGGCCAAAAAGTTCGATTTTGGTTTAATCTGACCAGAGCACCTTCTTCCACATGTTTGGTGTGTCTCCCAGGTGGCTTGTGGCAAACTTTAAACAAGACTTTTTATGGATGTCTTTGAGAAATGGCTTTCTTCTTGCCACTCTTCCATAAAGGCCAGATTTGTGCAGTGCACGACTGATTGTTGTCCTATGGACAAACTCTCCCACCTCAGCTGTAGTTATCTGCAGTTCATCCAGAGTGATCATGGGCCTCTTGACTGCATCTTTGATCAGTCTTCTCCTTGTTTGAGATGAAAGTTTGGAGGGACGGCCGGGTCTTGGTAGATTTGCAGTGGTCTGATACTCCTTCCATTTCAATTAGGGCTGGGATAAACGATTATTTTTTAAACGATTAATCTAGCGATTATTTTTTCGATGCATCGATTAATCTAACGATTATTTTTTTCGCTTCGATTCGATTTCGATTCGATTCTCGATTATCTCCCCATTAATTGACTAATATTGATGTATACATGTTGATTTAAATATTTTAATGAAAAAAACATGAATTCCTTCACAAAAAATATGTATTGCTTGCTCTTTAAATTAAAAAATAAGACATTCTTAGAGGTAGCATAAAACCTTAAAGCCTTGAAAACACAGCTTACTGAAAAAAGTGCATCTTATCATTCTTGAAACAAACATTTGATGCTTAGCATTCAATAAAAATATGAAAAAGTTCAGCCAAATACTTGTGTAGAGCAACTAAAAGAAAAAGCCTTCAAGTTTACATTGGTTACTGTTAAGCTAAACAAAGAGTGCTTTTCCAGCAAAAACAGTGGGAGCCATCAGCCTGTCATGGCTACATAAGAGTGTAGAGTGGCCACAGGACGCGTCATCAGCCTACGTCAGCAGCCGCGGACTGCTATGAAAACATTAGCTTTGTGGTTTCACAGGCGCAGTTGACTGCTTAAACTAAACTTTGCACGAAACTTTGACTCTTAAAACCCACATGTGACAAAACGGAACCATCAACATATCGCCTCAAATTGCATTAAAAGTGACATTCGTGTCTGAATTCGTTCGTATTTTAACTTTTAAAGAAATCCACGGTCCGCCATCTTGGTTTGCTTCGGTTGCCGTGAGACGCGCATGCGCAGGTTTGCATTACATGATAAACAGCTGAGGCTGTGCATCTCTTCAAGGCAGTGTATCTCAGCGTTACACCGGCTTGCACTTCTCTAACACGGCACTCGCATTGCTACCGCTCGCCGCCATCTTTGTTTTGTGTGTGACGCACCGACGCGCATATTATACGTCGGTGTATTTTTTGCGTCAACGTCACCGATTACGTCGACGCGTTGTCCCAGCCCTAATTTCAATACAATTGCTTGCACAGTGCTCCTTGAGATGTTTAAAGCTTGGGAAATCTTTTTGTATCCAAATCCGGCTTTAAACTTCTCCACAACAGTATCTCGGACCTGCCTGGTGTGTTCCTTTGTCTTCATGGTTCTCGCTGCGCTTTAAACAGAACCCTGAGACTATCAAAGAGCAGGTGCATTTATACGGAGACTTGATTACACACAGGTGCATTCTATTTATCATCATCAGTCATTTAGGACAACATTGGATCATTCAAAGATCCTCACTGAACTTCTGGACTGAGTTTGCTGCACTGAAAGTAAAGGGGCCGAATAATATTGCACGCCCCACTTTTCAGTTTTTTATTTGTTAAAGTTTAAATTATCCAATAAATTTCGTTCCACTTGATGATTGTGTCCCACTTGTTGTTGATTCATGACAAAAAATAAAAATTGTATATCCTTATGTTTGAAGCCTGAAATGTTGAAAGGTTCAAGGGGGCCGAATACTTTCGCAAGGCACTGTATATGTAAGACACTGTAATTTGTGCAATTAATGTAGATTATTAGTATAAAGTCTTTTTCTGCTTCACCACGTAGCATGTGTTTGTTATTTAGGTGTTCAACCTCAATGCCCCTGTCCCTCCTGCAAATGAGACGGAGGCATTAAACCAGGCCAATCAGTACCAAAACTCCTACAGCCAGTCCTTCAACAGCCAGTCGCAGCATCCTGTGGAGCAGGCGGAGATGCAGGCTGAGCAGCTGCAGTCTGGTGCGCTTTTCTCTCCTCAATAGTCTTCAGTTTTGATCTCGCAGACGATGTAAAGAGCGTTCTTTATCCTGTTCATCCGCAGTTGGGGCGTTCCAGGACCAATCAGGGGCTCACCCGCAGCAGTCGCAGCAGGGCTTTGGGAGGCAGGGCCAGTCCTTCTACAACAGCAGAGGCATGTCCCGCGGAGGCCCACGCAACGCTCGAGGCATGGTCAACGGCTACAGAGGCTCATCCAATGGCTTCAGAGGTAGCACCACTTCATTTGTTAAACATTGTAGCCTAATATTTTATGAATATTAAGCAGCAATTTACCATACTGTCTTTTTTAACCATTGTATGTTGATAAAATATGACTACAGTAATTCAGTTTGTTCTATTATTAGTTTTTACATGTATATATTCACTTATCCATTTTCATTCATTCATTTATTTATTTCAAACATGCACCATATACAAATATTCACAGACAAAAGAACAAGACCTGTGCATAGTTTGAAAAGGGATTCGTTGAAGCAAAAAGCATATATCAATTAAATCCCCTCCCAGCCAATCAGACACATACTATTATACAATGCAAAAAAAGAAAGAAAATCAAAACCCTAAAATACCCTCCAACAAATTATATTATGTTTTTATAAGATAAAGACAGAACAATATGGTATATTTTGTTCAACTTTCTAGACTTTCTGTTGGGACAAACAGATTGTATGTTTTCATGGTTGAATACAGTCACTCGAAATAAATCAGATTTGATAGTGTTCTGAAATGGGTAGCTATTTTAATTGTTGGATGTTTTGTTATGTATTTTGAAGGCGGCTATGATGGGTACCGTCCTCCCTTCACCAACACTCCAAACTCTGGCTATGGACAAACACAGTTCAACACACCACGGGACTACTCTAACGGAAACTACCAGAGGGTATGAGAGGCCTTTTTCATTCTTTCTATGAGGTCATTTGTTTTTTACAATGTTGGTAATGTGATTTATGTTTGTAGGATGGTTACCAACAGAATTACAAGCGTGGAACTGGGCAGGGCTCCAGAGGTGTTTCGAGAGGCAGCACTCAGGCCATGCGCTCCTGAAAAAAGCTTTTCTTAAATGACTGTGACTGATTACCTTGCACCACACTGAAAATTCATCATCACGTTTTCCCCCAGCTCGCTCATCTTTTTTTAGTTTGATTTTTCATCAGTGCTTTTTACTTGTTTCTTGGATCAAAGAAATCTCAAATCTAATGACACATTTTAAAGTCCGAACACAAGCTAATCTGTAAATTAAATCAATTTACAACAGCCATGTGTTTATAATGTTCCTGTAAACTTGAAAGATTTCATAAGTTATTTTTTGTATGAAAATGCACCTGCCACTGCTGGTCCAACCTTGGGAGATTATCCCCCTCTTCGGTTTTCTGTCATTTTGATTTTACAGCCTTTTATGTTCAAAGAGCTCCCATATTCTTGTTTGTAAATTGATATCGCTTCAAGAGTTTCAATAAAATCGTGTTGCATACTATGGTCAAGTTGGATTGTTGTTACAGTTTAGTTTGTTTTTAATTATGTATTATGTCCTTTTAATGATCAGTGATATTATACTGGGAGCTTCTGGTACCAGTATCCTACAGCCTCTTCTAGGAAGCTTCGCTAAGGATTTAGAAGTGTAAAAGTGTATACAGTGTGTCAAATTTGAAGAATATCCTGAATACAACTATTGCAAACGTAAACTTTAAAGTGCTGCACAGAAAGAAGGTCTGGGTTCGATTCCACCTCCAGAAAGGGTCTTTCTCTTTAGAACCTGAACCTAAAACCTGTACAATATGGGTTTAATGGTCAGGGGCTCAGAGGAGTCTCGCCTCTGTCATCACCGTGTGTGGAGTGAAATGGGAATTTCTGGTACAGTACACTAACATTGTAAAACGCACAAAATATTACAACATTTAGTTGTTATATATGATGTTTGCCATCTAACTGTACCTCTGGCTGACTTTGTTATACCAACTCAATTTCCTTTGGAGCTTTGTGCTGAAAAATAAGCTCTGCGGGGCAGGAATTTTGGAAATATTTGAAGGATTGAAAAGTACTCCATCTAGTGGTCTTTACTGCTACTTCGCTTTCCCGTTTTCAGCCTGGTCGTGTCAAAATATCCTAAATGTTGCCGTTTCAAAACGTGTGCGTGTGGAGGTGGGGTGGCCTTTCGTAAGCATTTTGGCACTAAATAAAACGATTAATATTTACAAGTCATACTATAAATGACACAGATTAAACGAAATAATTTTTTTGTGCAGAGGCATAGATCCATGAGCAATAATAGATCCATGAGCAAAACATGCTGTGGAAAAAATGAGTCGCGCACAGATGACGTCAGATCGGGGTCCTTCGTGAACAAGTGTCCCCACGTGAGTTTCAACAACAGCGAGAGAATTGTCAAGTACAGATTGCGCTTCATCAAACGACAGATTAAAGCAACATCTGAAATAGACACTCAACTTCTATTAAAGGTAAATTTATTTGCTATATTGCTTTCCTTCAGCGAGCCCAGGAATGAAAGCCAAGTGGACCGATGTACCGTGTGTTGACGTTATGCGACTTGTATTATCGTAGGTTGATATTGATGCAGTGATCTGAAACCTTCACAATGGCTACAGTCCGTAAAAAGGTGGACAACCGAATCAGAGTCCAGATTGAGAATGGAGTCGCGTTGCGGCATCGTACCATGTTCGTCGTGGTTGGGGATCGTGGAAGAGATCAGGTAAAGTGGTATTAATATGGCAAGTGGTTTTATAAATATATATTATCATGGTGTGTCTGTTGTAGGTTGTCATTCTGCACCACATGTTGTCCAAAGCCACTGTCAAAGCTCGTCCATCAGTTCTGTGGTGCTACAAAAAGGACCTTGGCTTCAGCAGGTGAATGGAACAACTATAACTTTCTGACAGTTAACTAAGATGCCCTGATCTTATGTCATTATTTGTGATTTGTAACAGTAATCGTAAAAAGCGAATGCGGCAGCTGCAAAAGAAGATCAAAACTGGCACACTGAATCTGAACCAGGATGATCCATTTGAGCTTTTTGTTGCTGCTACCAACATCCGCTACTGCTACTATAATGAGACCCACAAAATCCTCGGAAACACCTACGGCATGTGTATACTACAGGTAAGTACAGAATACTTTGTACTTACTTAGTTATGTACTTTAAATACTTTTGTGTTCCAGGACTTTGAGGCTTTAACTCCTAATCTTTTGGCAAGAACAATAGAAACAGTTGAAGGAGGTGGGATTGTTGTGATTTTATTGAGAACAATGAATTCCCTGAAACAGCTCTATACAATGACTATGGTAAGAGGTTTGTGCTTGTCTATGTAGGCCACTCGTATTTATGATAAACAACGAATTCTTGGTCTTTTAGGATGTGCATTCACGGTACAGAACTGAAGCTCACCAAGATGTGGTAGGCAGATTCAATGAAAGGCAAGTCAACTTTATTTTATCTGATATTTTGAAGTAGCATTTAAAACAAGTGCTTTTTATATGAAAGGTTCATCCTGTCTCTCGCGTCTTGCAAAAATTGCGTTGTAATTGACGATCAGCTCAACATCCTGCCTATGTCCAGCCACATGGCAAATATCAAGCCAGTGCCCCCCAAAACACAGGTAACGTACATATTTGTATATTAATTTAACATAATCGTGATTCTTGAGGTGGCATGTTTGTCTTATTCAGGAGGAAGGCTTGTCTCCTCGTGAACAGGAGTTGAAAGATCTAAAAGAGTCTCTTCAAGACACTCAGCCTGTGGGTGTGTTGGTCGACTGCTGCAAGACTATGGATCAGGTATGATTTATATGTCTGTCCAGAAATAGCTGGGTGGATGCAGGTTTTCATTTCGACCAAACGGGAGCACAACAGGATGTCAAGTCTTCATGTTAAGACTGGACTCACTTGATGGAATGGGTGGAGGCTGGTATGCTCCTGCTTAGTTGCAATGAAAACCTGTAAATCCAGTGAAAACAATGAAAATCCTGGTCTGAACAGGGCCTTTCTGAGTGGAGTTGTTCTCCCCGTGTCTGCATAGGTTTCCTCCGGGTGCTAAAAATATGTACAATAGGTCTGGCATGTGCCTCCTGTACTGGTGACCTCACTCCCATCTCTGTGTGGAGTGAGAGGACAAATGCCCACAATTGTAAAGCGCTTTGTGACTCTGGTCTGTGAAAGGCGGTATATAAATAAAGATTACTTACTAATTACTACCTGCGTCCACATCAGCACTTTCATGGGACCAGTTCGACACACCTGACGTACAGCAAAACGTAGTAACAGTCTCTCAATAGCCGTAAATTATTACTAGTAGTCTAGGAACCCAAAAACCTAACCACATCTCCTACTTCTTCAAAAATCTACCCATTCGAGCAAACATTCATAGCTCTCACATGTTGTTCCCGTGCGCACCTCACCACTTTACTCTTCCCAACACTCACATTCAACTTCCTCCTTGAACACACATGCTACCAAACTCACTCATTAACATCTTCAATTTCTCCTCTTGACTCAGCCGCCAATGCTGGATCAAAACTAATTAGTGCATAATATTTGCACTACGTTGTCTGGGTCTAACATCCAGGATCCTCAAAATTCAACAACATTTATAGACATTTATCAACAGTTATGGACATTGGTCATCTGCCCCTTATGGACCAATGGCTCTGTGTTTTTTTTTTTTATCATTGCATTTCTTGTTTTTGGACTGTTTTAATTCTCTGATCTGTGTTGGCGAATTCAACTGTTTTGTTAAGGCCTCCGAGATAACTACTGTTGTGATTCAGGGCTGTACAAGATTAAATCTAAATGAATTGATGTTTTTTTAGACTAAAGCGGTGCTGAAATTCATTGAAGCGATATCAGAGAAGACGTTAAGAAGCACCGTGGCTCTCACTGCAGCTCGTGGACGCGGGAAATCTGCTGCACTGGGACTGGCTGTCGCTGGAGCGGTGGCTTTTGGGTAATATTTTGTTGTGTTGGTTTTAAAAGTACGTGAACTAAACATTTCATGAGATTAACTATTTGTTTGTGCTCTCAGCTATTCCAACATTTTTGTGACATCACCAAGCCCTGACAACCTACATACAATGTTTGAGTTCATCTTTAAGGGCTTTGATTCCCTGCAGTATCAGGTTGGCTGTTTGTGGTTTTGTAAACTTGTGTTTTACTGTTTTAAAACACGTGCTAAATTAGGGTTATTGTTGTTGAGTTGAGTGAGCTATTGTGCTATTTGATTTATATTACTTCTACATAATGCCTGTAGCAAAAAGATTGTAAAAAAAATATTCTGGAACAACCCCCATCTATTGTTCTGCAGCCCGTATTTTGGGAATCACTGCTTTTACCCCCTCATATTTGACTTAACAAACTTGCATTTTTGTCTTAGTTTCTTTAACCTAAATGGGCACTTATGGCTGATTGCCTGACACCTCCGATTTTTCTCCTTACTCAAACCTGATTCTGCCGAGGGTAAAGATGGCCTTGCTTACCTAATTCTTCTTTCTCTGACTTTTTTTCCTTTACGTAACTCTTCACAGGAGCATCTCGACTATGAAGTCATCCAGTCGTTAAACCCAGAGTTCAATAAAGCTGTTGTCAGAGTGAACATTTTCAAAGAGCACAGGCAGACCATTCAGGTATAAAGGGGTACTGTTAGTTAAACAGAACAAAAACATGTTCAATGAGCTTTTTATCGTGCCGCCCACAGTACATCCACCCGGGGGACGCCGTGAAACTCGGCCAAGCAGAGCTACTCGTCATTGATGAAGCCGCCGCGATTCCTCTTCCTTTGGTCAAGAAACTACTTGGACCATATCTAGTTTTCATGTCTTCCACGATCAATGGGCAAGTTGGAATCAAGTTGAAAGTCGAAATGGCACTTCTGTTTTAGCCGACGATGAAAGAGTAACCCAGCTGTAACTGTTTAGGTACGAAGGGACGGGGCGCTCTCTCTCCCTCAAACTCATTCAGCAGTTGAGGCAGCAGAGCGCAGACAGCCAGCAGAGTCTATCAGCAGAAAACAAAAACACCAATACTGCAAGGTTATCAGCAGGTGGGTGACTTTTATAATATTCAATTCAATGTATTCGTGTATAGCCCTAAATCACAACAGTAGTTATCTCGGAGGACTTCACAAAACCGTTGAATTTGCCAACACAGATCAGAGAATCAACAATTCAAACACAAGAAACGCAATGATAAAAAAACATAGAGCCATTGGTCCATAAGAGGCAGATGACCAATGTCCATAAATAATAATAAGGATCATTGGTGCTATAAAAGTTGCCTACTTCTCACTGACTTATCGAGCTACAACATTATAGTATATGAAGTATTGGACGTAGACGCAGGATGGACTCTGATTTATATGCTGTTTTCTTTGTTTTCTTGTAGCTCGGTCCCTGCATGAAGTCTCTCTCCAAGAGTCCATTCGTTATGCTTCAGGAGACTCTGTGGAGAAGTGGCTCAATGATCTGCTCTGTCTCGACTGTCTCAACATCCCCAGGCTGATCTCGGGCTGCCCACTTCCACAGTCCTGTGACCTGTATCCTTTACCTCAGTGTCTCCCAAAGTGGGGTCCGCGGCCCCCTGGTGGGCCGCGAGGGTACTGCAGGGGGGCCGCGGGAGGTCATAAAAAAATAATATAATTATTTAATGTTAAATTTATAATGTTTTGTTTGTAATATTAAAATATTTGTGTTCATTATTTGACTTGAATAATCCACTGTAATCATTTTTGTATTACAATTTTTGTAGCAGAGGCTATTTCCCCAAAATAAAATGACCAGAAGAGCCTATTCTTAATGTTGTCTTCTTGGTTATTATTTTGGGGGGGCCACGCAGACCCGTCAGATTTTTAAGGGGGCCTCGGTGTTACTGAGTTTGGGAATGGCTGCTTTACCTGAAACAAGGTTTTGCAATTGTTTAAAGCTGGGGTACCTAACAAGGCGACTATGTCCGTCTAACTAGTTCCTCCCTCTCAAACCCCCACCCAGCCAATCAGCTCTCAGCCCAAAACTTAAGATGGTGGCCCTTTCTTACATATATTTGAAAGGTTTTAATTTTTACAAGACAGTTGGGGCAAACAAAGCCGTATTATTTAGTAGAAAATATTTAGGTACCCTTGCTTTAAGACATTTATATTCATTTTGTTCTTCTATACAGTCCGTTTTTGATCTTAACTAATTGTGTAGCTATTATGTGAACAGAGACACACTTTTCTGCTATCACAAAGCCTCTGAGGCTTTTCTGCAAAGATTAATGGCTCTTTATGTAGCATCGCATTACAAGGTGAGACCATCGCTAGTATTATGAAAACATAAATACATTGATCTATCTATTTACAAATCTGCTTACTTTTTTGTTTTGTTTCCTGATGTACAGAATTCTCCTAACGACCTGCAGATGTTGTCTGACGCTCCTGCCCATCACCTCTTTTGCCTTCTGCCTCCAGTCCCTCCAACACAAAATTCTCTCCCAGAAGTCCTGGCTGTAATTCAGGCACGTTCCTCTCATCTGACCATGATTTCAGTGTATTAGTTTCAGTTATGTTAACTCATCATATATAATGCTTTAGGTGTGCCTTGAAGGAGAAATCTCCCGACAGTCCATCCTTAACAGTCTGTCGAGAGGAAAGAAAGCTTCTGGAGACCTGATTCCCTGGACGGTCTCGGAGCAGGTACAGTCCTCACACACACACACAGCGGCGTGTCGTTGTTGTTGTTGTTGTTGTTGTGCGGCTGCTTTAACTTTGTCTTTGTTCCTGCAGTTTCAAGACATGGAGTTTGGTAGTCTCTCAGGTGGTCGAGTGGTGCGGATAGCTGTTAATCCGGATTACCAAGGGGTATGCGTTTTATGATTAACTGCTAGTACTTAAATCTCTATTTTTAGCTTTGTGCAAAGACACACAGATTTTGGGTTATAATCGAAGAAATCGCATAAAGAAATATACATAATTTAACTCATTGACTCATTGAAACCAGTTCTGAAAGACTGGACTGTCTACTTTCATCAGAAACACTTTGTTTCTATCTTGTTTTGTTCTCCTGTAATCCATTTAAGCAAAGTTTTATGCCACATAAATTCACAAGGGTTGCTTGGACTTTAATTAAGAAGTACTTTTGGAAATAGTACTTCACTTTACTTTACTTCACTTCTACTTTACTTTACTTCACTGTACTGCTGTCACCTTACATTGTGTGCACCATGTGCACTTGTATATTGTACATAGTAACTGTAACTCTATTTTAAATTTAAATTTATTCTTTAGAAGTGTTTTTTATTCTTATTTTTATTATCTCTTTTTGACTGTTGCACTGAGCCAAAGCAATTTCCTAGTCTGTGACCTCCTGTTACTTACGTGGCAATAAAAATGATTCTGATTCTGATTTAAGTTTACATACTGAAGTTAATATACCGGTAGATTTGATCTCACTCTAAACATGAATAAACGAATGACTTTGAACAGATGGGTTATGGCTCCAGAGCTCTCCAACTCCTTCAAATGTACTACGAAGGCAAGTTTCCGACAATGGATGAGGACGCGAACCATAAAGGGATAACTTCAGTTAGCAGCGAAGTATGACCTCGACTCCAAACACAATCAGATCTGAGACGCAGCCACCATGATTAAAGTGTGTTTGTGACTTTTTACCCCAGGCTGTTTCCCTTCTGGAGGAGGTGGTCACGCCCAGGAAGGAGCTGCCTCCCCTGTTGCTGAAGTTGAGTGAGAGGAGAGCAGAGAGACTGGACTATCTGGGAGTGTCCTATGGCCTCACTGCGCAGCTGCTCAAGTACGTGCGCCTTGGAGTCAGCGCTAGATCAGATTTATAAATGTTTGCTAATAATGACTCATTTAAACATCTGGGCAGGTTTTGGAAGAAGGCAGGCTATACTCCAGTGTATCTTCGGCAAACTCCTGTAAGTTCCTAACAATCCATTTGCTATTGACAGATTACAAGTTAGGTCTGCAATAATATTAATGTTTTTTTTAATAACTTTAAAATTTTATTTTGACTGGCTTCAACTAGAATGACCTGACAGGAGAGCACTCGTGTGTCATGCTGAAGGAGCTGAACACGGATGAAACGCCGCAGCAGAGTCAGTGGTTGACTGCTTTTTGGAAAGGTAAAACGTTGCCTTTCATAATTGCTTAAATAGTGTATGTTTATATTGTTCCAATAACAATATGTTTTTGTTCAGATTTCCGCAGACGTTTCCTCTCATTACAATCCTACCAGTTCAGTAACTTTCACCCAAGTATGGCTCTCAACATCCTACAGAATAAGAAGACCAAGGAGGACACGAGCTGTAAGAACTTTCAATAAGGACCGAGAAGGAATTTCAACGGCTATATTTTGATTACGAAATCAAGATAATATACACTGAATAATTTGTTGATAAATATTTAAATAAAATATTTGAAATGTTTTATGCATAGGAAGGTCATGTTAACTGACCAAAGTTAAACTAATCTTTTTCTTTTCAGTGCTGAGCAGCTCGGAGCTGGCTCTGATCTTCACTCCTTACGACATAAAACGCTTGGAGCTGTATTCCAGAAGCATGGTGGACTATCACCTCATCATGGACCTGATCCCAGCTGTGGCTCGCATGTTCTTCCTCAGGCAGCTGGGAGACGTGTCCCTCTCCGCGGCTCAGAATGTAAGTTACCCTCTCACTTGATATCGTCCAGATGATGTGATCGAATCGTACACTGTCTCTTTTCCAGGCTCTGCTTTTGGGAATAGGTTTGCAGCACAAGTCTGTGGACCAGTTGGAAAAAGAAATAGACCTTCCCAGCTCACAGCTCATGGGCCTTTTCAATCGTCTCATTCGAAAATTTGTCCATGTGAGTTAACATCAAAATGTATTGGACACTTTTTTTTTGTTGTTGCATTGAGTATTCTTGTTTGTTGTAGGTCTTCACTGGAATCCAGGAGAAGGCCATTGAAGCTCAGATGGCCACGTCTAAAGACGTTACAATGGAACCTACAGTGTGCAGCTTAAATGAAGACCTGGTGTGTGACGCTGATCTGCCACTCAGTCCTACTGGGGGCAACATTCAATATTGTGTTATATTGGACTTATTTTAGTCAGAAAGCTGTTATATTGTTCCCATAAAAGGGGAGAGGATTTTCATAAAAAGCTAGTTAAAGCTAATGAATCCACTTTTCCTCCCCAGAATGAAGCAGCCAAAGAGTTTGAGGAGAAGCACAAACAAGAGATAGAAAAAGTGAAGGATCTGGACCTTGACCAGTGAGTTCCACAGTTGCCAAAACTATGAATAGTAAAAATGATCAAGTTTGTAAAGTATATTCTTTCATGGTCACAGGTACAGGATACGAGGGGATGAGGAGGAATGGGACCAGGCGTTAAAGAAAGGAGGTGGAGCTGTGATTAGTATAAAAAGGTAAATTATAATATATATTTATAAAATGTATAATATACAGTTATTAAAACTTTCTTCCCGTCTCAGTGATAAGAAGAGGAAACTAGAGAGTGGGAGTGTCCAAAGCAAAGGTCCGCAGCATGAGAAGATGAAAAAGGAAATGCATCATGGAAAGTCAAATCATGGAAAGAAAAATAAGGACAAACATGGAAAATTTGGGAAAAGAGCCTGAATAATTGCACAAACAATACCAAGATGTGTTCCATGTCTGATGCTCCTCAAAACAAGAATTCCAACTCTGCTCTAGACTTCATATAAACCTGACAAACGCTGCGTTAGGAACCAGTCGTCACTTGAGAAAATGAGGCCATTTTGTCACGTTTGTTTATTAGAGTTGTGCTAAAGAATACAAACTTTTATATTAAATACTTGATTTGAGTAATGTTTTTTCCATTTTATCTTTCTTAAAAACGTTTTAAATTGTGTTAAAACTGAGGTATTTAGTGGGTTACATGATCCATAGTCAACAAAACTCATTTAAACCCTTGAGGCTGTAAATCTTTCCACTTCTGCTTCAGCTGCTCTTTGACAGATTCAGGAGCAAAAATGTAATCGATGGCCTTCTGCGAGAGCTTCCACACGGCTTCATGACTGAGGCCAAAAGTTGACGCTGCCATTTTGTATTCCTGAGATAAGTCCGTGGCAAAAACTCCCTTGTCATCAGTCTGTAATATAAAAAAAAAAATACATTGAGTCATCTTTGGAGACAGTGAGAATGTATTGAGTTTAAAACCTACACAGATGACGACCGGGTGTCCCATTTGGTACCAGTGTTTGAAGTGGTGCTCGGAGTAACACTGTACAGTTTGTCCCTTAACGTTCGATGTCAGACACAGCTCTGTAAAAATAGACCCATTGGAGGAGAACCAGAATTTTTTAAAATGCAAGAGATAAGTCAAATTTTGTACCGAGTGGTATGTTTTTCTGCACCACTTTGTCCATGAGGCCTTGAGATCCTCCCATTTCAGGATGTAAGAAGGTGCCATGACCAATCCTGTCCGGAGGAATATCTAGGAGCAGATCTGTTTCATCATGTTGCGATGGCACCTGTGTGATCAAAGTTTTCAATACTACAAACTTACTGATATGGTAACATAACTAAAGACACTTACTTCAGAGAGGTGCAAAGATAGTTTGAGTCCACTGCTCTTGGCTCTCTGTAATGCAGAAAGAAGGTCTCGCCCATGGCCCACCTAAGTCAATTGTTGTTATGCAAAACACATTACAACTGCAGGGCACATAGTTTCACCTAATCAAAATTCAACACATGGAGCTTCACAACAAGTAAAGTAAAAAAACTTGCCATTGGATCCCCACTGAGGTCAATGCCAACGACCAAACCATTGGAGGAGGTGAAAAACTCTTCAGCCAGCTGCACTGTCTCCATGGCCACTTGACTCCCATTCCTCCGGTCAATGGCCACTAAAAACCTTCAAGTACAAATTTGTAGAATTGGGTAATGACTGAGTATTGTCTAAATTGTGCATATGGATGAAGTAAAAGTCAATATACGCCAACCTTACGTCAATGTCCACTCCTTCCTTTTTACAGAATTGGATAGCTTTGATAACCGTCTCGATATATCTTCTTTTTGTCAAACCTGCCAAAAGACATTGTCAAATAAAAAGGGTATAGTTAAATTTAAGCTCTATGGGGTACCTGTAGTTTTCTCCTCTCTGGGTGTACTTCTCAGTTCTAAGTACTTCACACCATCAGCTGCAAACTCCTTAATAACATCTGTAGAAACCTGTAAATGATAGATATTTGAATGCCATAAAACTTATCACATACAACACCAGACATCACTTACCATAAAGATGTCTTCCTCCGAATCTACTAACTGATGGATGACCTTGAAGACTTGAAAACACCTGCAGAAAAGTTCAATCTGGGTTACTAACTTCTAAACCACAACATTTCACAAAAGCACATATGACTTATACAATCTCTATCTTTATTCTCAACAGTTTGGTTCCATTATTACCGTCTATTGTTTTATCACATGCATGCATTTTTGGCTCTGTCACATCTGAAGATCAACTTTCTCAGACAAAAAAAGTGAAAAAGAGAGGCCCACCTTCACTCAGCCAATCAGCTCTAAACCCAAAGACTGACTCAGGGTTCCATCTTACAATTATGTAAAATTGAAAGATAAGGGCAACAAGTGTGTGGGTTGTATCTTACAATTTTCCATAACTGTAAGATACAACCCACACACGTGTTGCCCGTGTGTGTGAGTACAGTGCTTTCTGTATGGGGCAGAATTTTACAATGTTGTATGGCTCAAAATTAAGTATTCACATTCAACAAATATAAAATATATCCAGTTAAAAATAAATAAAAAAGAGATCAAGATGAAAATAGCATGCAGATTTCAAATTCTACTTTTAGAAGAGACTTTAGAAACAGAAATGCAAGGTATCCCAGCCATAAACCAGAATAACCATAATCTGTACTGATCATGCAATTATATTAGTTTCAAGAATAAAAGGAAAAATAGTAAAATAAAGTACACACACATTCTAAATCTACTTTTCACATGTTATTATCACGCACTCGTCCAGGGTCCGGCGCTGGCCTTTGCCGATAGCGGTCATGCTGTGCTCGATGTTGAGCTGTGGTTTGCGGCGGATGAGTTTCTCGATGGTGTGCACGCTCACAGAGCCGTTCAGGTGCGCGTGCAGCTCCTGGTGACAAACAAACAGCTGACGTCAGCAGCCTGCTGCTGGTGGCGCTTATAACAGTCTTTTATACAGAACATAAGCCACACATTTCACTCAGAGTTCACTTACCACTTTAGGAAGCTCCAAATAAAACATGTCATCTTCATTCTCCATCACAATTAACAATGATAGCGATAATTTAAGAGAGTTTTGTTCCTGGGAGTGCTGTCGGTCTGCTGTCGTCTCCAGTTGTGAAGCACTATTGCCATCTGTTTTCAGGGAACATTATTCTGGCACACAGGTCTGTGCAACAGTAAACTCATCCCCCCTCTTGAGGGTTTTGTCCGTTCCGCCAAATGCGCATGACAAGCAGATAGGATTATTTAATCACAAAACAATGTGAATTAACACAGTTATGTTTATTATTGTCTCGTCATTATCTGTCTATCCATAGCGTGGATGTCATCTGTGAGCTTTGCTTGTAAAGCGCTTTGTGAATCTGTGAAATACGCTATGTAAAGAAGACTTCTTCATGGAAGTGTCTACATAATTTCAATTTCCTTCACAAACTGTGATCGAAATAATAACAATAAACCCTCTACTGGTGCATGTCTAATTATAGTCCACTTATTGTTTTAATGATTGAAGAGGCTTGTTTTCTAATTACAGATCTACAGAGGTGACACAAGTTTACCACAGCCAATAACTAAATGCAAAGTATAGAATAGGCAATTAAAAAAGGCAATCAAGAACAATTTAGCTATAAAATAGCAAATATTTATTTCAAGAAAAATAGTTCATCAGTAGTTATTCAATTTCTTCTTGCTTATTCAAATACTGACAAATAAAACATTGGATTCTGGCAGTAGAGTAACAATGAATAAAATATTAAACTTGTAAAAAAATCAACCAAGTACAACTTATCGTGACAGAAAATCTGTTACTCTTGAAAACAGAGCAAAAAGAGACATGATGATAACAAGCCAATCTGGTCATAACAATCAGCAACAATAAAAAAAATACATATATATAATATATTTACACAAATAAAAATATGAAAAAAGAAAGGAATTGCCTTTGTCACATTTGGATTAGTTTTTCCCAGTCTCTCCTGTTACACGTTGAAGCCACTCCTTTAAATTCTTAAAGCTTGGTCGTACATCAGGATTTAGATTCCAACACTGTTTCATTACATTATAAACCATTTCAGGACAGCCATCCGGACAGTCCATTTTGTATCCCTTCTCAACTCGAGGAACAACCTCCTTTAATGGCTGTAAAAGAAACATCAAAATATGAAATGACATAATTACAGTTGAATATAATGTATATACTTACAATTCTTGGGTAAGGTACTCGGCCAAAAGAATATATCTCCCAAAGCAAAATACCAAAACTCCAAACATCTGATTTAGTGGAAAATTTCTGTTGAAAATATTGTTATTAATCAAATAATATCAAATATTTTTATTTGCAGTTTCAAACTCTACATTTATACACTCACCTTTTCTCTAAGAGCTTCAAGTGCAGTCCACTTGATGGGCAGCTTAGCAGTGTCCTGAGTTGATGAGGCCTCCTTAGTCAAGCCAAAATCGCTGACTTTAGCGATATTGTCATCTGCGACTAGTACATTACGTGCTGCTAAGTCTCGATGAACAAAGTTGTTTGCCTCAAGATAAGCCATGGCTTCACAGACATTTCTGCCAAACCAAAAAAACCACAAGTCAGTGGCTGCCAACAAGTTATTACTCACTATTACTGGTATTTTACCAGTATAACTAAAATGCACATTACCAAATGTAATTGTTTACTGTACGTACAGTGCAAAATGAAGGAGTGCATCAGAATCAAGCACTGTCCGACCTCTGGAACGTAAGTAATCAACTAAACAGCCCTAGAATAGAAACAAACATGAATTTTACTATGTAGTAATCTGTGCATTATAGACTTTTATGAGAAACTCACCTTGGCCATAAACTCTGTTACAATAAACAGACTTCCATTCTCTTCTACAATCACTCCCAGCAGCTGCACCAAGTTCTCGTGTCGTAATTGTCTGAAAGCATTTCAGAATGAAGCATAGCTTTAGAATACTTAAATGATTAAATCATATTTGTCAAATGTGATGATTACGTCATGACTGAGGCCTCTGCGATGAATGCTTGAGCTGTTGCATCATTTTTTATGCATTTTACTGCAACTTTGGTCCCTCTGTAGTCTCCCATCATGACATCTGCAGAGACACTTTATTGTATTAGGAAGAAAGATGCAAGTTTGGAGTTAGCTTCATGTTTATTGAACACACCTCCAAACTCTCCTTTTCCAATAACAGACTGTAGAACAAGGTGTTTTCTATCTAGTGACCAACCACCTGTATTCAATCAAAATGAAAATTATTCAAGAATCAGTCAAGAAATTTTAATAAAAAAAAAAAAAAAAACCTTACTTCTTGAAAATTCATCTTGAGCCGCCACTGCTCCTTCTTCCACCTTAGGCTTGATGAGTTTTGTGCACAGGCCATCCTCGTCTTTGGTGTAGTGCTACATTTAAATAAATAATAATATTAAAATGGAAAACACACAAAATACATCTAGAATTCACAAAAAATAAATGGTTCCACATGAGCAGCTATGTCCTCTTAGATTCTGAATGTTTTATCACAGACACGGACAAACCTTTCCTCCTGAGGACACATCCTGCCGTCAGGAGCCAGACCTAATTTCCAATGCATTTGTTTATTTGGATTGAAGTGTGTATTAATGAACAGCAGTAGCTGCAAATGCATCAGATCGTATCTTTGTGTAGATCTTTTCCATCTGTAGTCGCACAGTCGCACTCACAAACACACAACCCTTCAACTTTTTATTGGTATGGGAAACCGGAGCACCCAAAGGAAACCTACGCAGACACGGGGAGAACACGCAAACTCCCCACAGAACGGCCCTGTCTGAAGGTAGAATCGAACCCAGGACCTCATTGCTGTGAAGCACAAGTGCTAACCATGCCTCGCATTTTTTCCTCAGGCTTTTACACATAAATATAATAAATATTATTTATTATTTAAGGAGCAGGACTGTGGCTCCAGAGCTCTCCACGCAGCAGAGGGATTTTATAGTCTCTATATCTATATAAACCGAGGAGGGCTCAGGGTCTGATAGAAACGTCTAAAGGGCCGCATCTGGCCCAAGGGCCGGGGTTTTCCCAGCACTGTTCTATCAAGTTGAAATTGAGTTAGAGGTTCTTTCTTAGTCCTGGATTCTTTTTTCTATAGTATATAGTCTTTTTTCTATATTGCCGTATGAATGGTCAGATCTTTAAACGGCAAACATTTATATAAATCTTTAATTCTATAGTATAGAATAGTTACTCTTTTTTAACACACTTCTATATAGTAAATTAATTGTAACTGTTTGTCTAGAATCCAATGTTGGAAACAGTGACAGTTTTAGAGTTTGAGTTTTACGTATGAAGCCTTCTCTGCACTCTTCCTCTTTGACACTTCCGGTTCATTATTTGTTCCAGGAACTGCAGCGGAGCGACAACTTCGACTGACAAGCAGAACAGGAAACATCACCATGTTTAGAATCCATTTCGTGCATTGTACTTCAGAAAGGGCAGACAGAGTACAGTGTGTTTGAAAGTACACACCGAGGCAGAGGAAACAGCCTTCTTCAGAGACTGAATGCAAATGCTTTAGTGGTTGTGTGAAGGCAAATTAACATGTTTTCTATTTTCAAATGACAACAGACACCCCTCTCTGACCCTGACTAGAAGTTTCCATCCCTGTTCTCAACAGCCTGTATTTCCCCTTTAACATCTATGACAGGTCGAAGCCTTCTGTGATACTTGTGGATGAGGTTCTCTCTCCTCTCCGATGGTAAACCTGCCCATTTCTCTTGGCAAAAAGCCCTCAGCTACTGTAAAATTCCTGGGCTGCTTTGCATGAACAGCACATTAGTGATCTCCACAGATTGGGTCAACTATCAAATCAATTGAAAATACACATTTGTTTAAACAGTAGTAAGAGCACACAGGGAGCACACAAAATATACAATAAAAGTAGCTGCTATGTTTCTTCGAGCTGTAAATGCTTCAATAACAATATATCGAAATATCTCTCTCTATAGTGGGGTTTTGTCAGTTGACGTAATGTAAACAGGCACGGTTAGAGCTTGTGTGTTCACAGCAAAAAGGTCCTGGGTTCAATTCCACCTCCAGGCGTTTCTGCGTGGAGTCTGCATGTTCTCATCATGTCTGCGTAGGTTTCCTCCAGGTGCTCCGGTTCCCCCTACCACTAAAAATGAACGTAACGAGTGAGTGAATGGAGGGTGTTTGGTCAGAGGCTTTGATGCTCCAGTGTGTTTGGCGTCTCGTTTCCATCATCACCGTGTGTGGAGAAAATGGAATAACTATCGGAACTCTGAACATTGTAAAGCGCTTTGGCTGACCTTAATCTGTAAAATGCGCTATGACATGAATTGCTGTTTCTTATTATTATTATTATCATTATCACTATTGTTAGCTTTTCAGAATGATCAATTCATTTGTTTTGGTTGTTGTGGATGGATGGGTTTTTGCTGCTACTCCATCTATCTATATACACTGGCTCCCTGTTACATTCAGGGTTGATTTTAAGATTCTGATGCTTGTTTTTAAATGTTTAAATGGTTTGGCCCCTGTATATCTGTCAGAGCTTTTATCTCTGTATGCTCCCAGCAGATCAGTGAGGTCCGACAACCAGCTGTTGTTGAACGTGCCCCGGTCTCATTTCAAAACCCGTGGAGACCGAGCCTTTTCTGTTGCTGCCCCCAAACTATGGAATAGTCTACCCCTTCATTACAGCAGCTTCTTCATTGGAAATGTTCAAGTCTAGTCTAAAGTGGTGTTGTTGTAAAAGTGCTAAGTTGACATCGACAAATAGATAAACATTACTTTACTTACTTAAATCACAAACAAATCAGCCCTTTCCTGGGTCATATAATAATAAAGCAGTCAAAATGAAGTACCTCAACCAGCTGCATGAGGTTTTCAAAGAAGCCCTCTTCGTCGATGCTGAGTTTGCCTTGCTTGTAGACGATGCGGTAGTGCTCCACTTTGCCGTCGCAGCTCACGCACAGGGTGTAGTCTCCGGGGAAGTTGGTGCTCTCTCGTACCAGGAAAAGGCCCGTCTCTGGGGGGTGAAGCAGCCGCTCAGCTTGGTCTCGCGTTATCTTCCCATGAAACCACCTGAGTGCGTTAAAAAAAGTAAACAAATCACGTTTAATGAAGCCATGCAATGTATTTAAGCTATTTTCGAACAGTCTAGAATTAAATATACTGTAATATGGATGGATTTTCGTTTTCAGCATGTCCTTTATCATAAGAAACTCATACACACTGCAAAATATTATAAAATATTAGGTTTTAATTTCTTGATCAAGTGTTTTTAAATCTTATTTTGAGTACATTCTGATTGTCCAATGTGACAAAGTATTATTCAAGAACTGTTGCTTTTTTTCTCATTCCAAGGGAGACATTTCTTGTATCTTTCTAAAACAAGATAATTTTGTCTCATTGGCAAATTTTGTTTTAAGGCAGTCAAAATGTGCTGGAATTGAGATACATTATACCAAATTAGAATTTTTTTTGCTTGTTTTTTATCAGTTCTTGCAATGCACACATTCTTCTTTGTGGGTAAAAATGACTTTGCTCAAAATGGCAAGATTCTCACAAATGAAGTCTTGAAATCTTAGGATTTCTGAAATCAAAGAAAAACAACAGGAAACTGTTCTGTTCGCACAAAACCTGGACTAGTTTCAAGTCGACTGCAGTTACCACAGTCAGGTCAGACTGTGGTCGTCTGCAGAAGGAAGCCTTCTGCAGACGCACCTCAAAGGCTAACTCAAAGATCTCAAACTGATTGTTCTTAATCTTGCTGTTCAGATCTTTCAGTCTTTGTGAGCTCATGAACATATTCATTTCAGACAAAACCCACTGTATTGTTTCCTGTTTTATACTTAAACTAAAAGACTTACGGCATGAGACTAAGTTTGCACCCAGATCTCACTCCCTCTCGTTTTTGGACATAATTCCCGGGGATGGTTCCCTCCTGGCCCGAAGCGTTTTTAGCTTTATACCAGTTTGGGTCCTAAAACACAATAAAAAATAATTAGATTGATTTCATTCAACTCATTTGTGTTACTATTATTATTATTATAATAATGCTGTAAATCTGAAGGTCTGTGATATTACCTTTGTGACCACGACAATAGTCAGCACGTCTCCCTTGTTGAACGGCAGGTCCTGTTCTGATGTGCCTTTGAAGTTATATCTGGCCACACATTCAGTGCCTGGAGGCCATGGAGTCTACAGGAAATACAGAAACACAATTAAACACAAGAAACAAAACATTTGTACTTGAGTACTGTACTTCTGTACTGATTTCTACTGGCATCAGTCCTTTACTACCGTTACTCTTTAGTTTGAATCAAAAATATCTGTACTTTCTACTCATTACATTTTATGAATTTTGGTCTTTGTTTATTTCTTTTTTAATTTATTGTGCAGATCTGTCTTTGTGTGTGCGTTCTTCTTTAAAATAAGATTTTAAAGTAACATTTTAAAATGACAGATAGAAAAACGATATAAACCAAGTCAAGTGAATGAAATATAAGATCTAAATGTTTCGTTTATAGTAATATTCTTTACTTTGTGATTTACACACAATTGTACTTGTACCTAATTTCAATACTTTTCCTTGACTAGTTTTACCTGGATCTCGGCCATACTGCGGCAGTGGGACCCTCTCACTGCTGGTATTTGACAGTCACCATCAGAGCAAACCAGCGTGCATTCCTGCAGAGGGAAACAGAATACAGCGTGACAACCTCCATAGCATTCATAATGTTTATAACAAACAGTATTCCAGGAGTGGATTTGGTCGTCTGTTAAAGCTGGGGTACACAACTTTCAAACCACAGAAAAAGGAACATTTGTAATAAAATGTATCAAATTCCTTGCTGTCAAAATAGTTTGGTTCTTTTTTATGCATTTTTGCCCCATTAGATCAGCTTTTTCAGACATAAAAGTGAACAGGAGAGTTTCACCTGTCCCTCAGCCAATCGGCTCTAAGCCCAAAGCGTCCAACAGTGAGTCTCAGGGCTTTTTGTTACAAATACAAGACAGAATGATGAGGTCTGATTTGTTAACAACATTTTATTTTTTCTCATAGACAAAGACAATCTATTGTTTATGGAGCAAAACATTAGGTATCCGAGCTTTAATGTCATCCCTAGTGACAGTAATCCTATCTCTATATCTGTCCTAGTGGTAAGCATTTGTGAGAGGACGACAAACTGGAGTAGACCCAGAAAATGCACAAAATCTGGGCCACACCAAACTCAGCCCTTCACACTCAAGAGTTTTGAAGTGAAAAGTTTACGTGACGGTGATCGAAAGTGAGCAAAACGGTGCATAATTTAGTGTGTATGGATTTCACTCTAAAATCAGTCATAGCTGAAAGGCAAAACTGAATCCAGTCAGATGCGGACATGGCTAAAAATAACTCTTGACACAAAAAACAGAACTAACACGTCCTTTAATTTTGTACTTTCACAGCTAAAAAGAGACTGTTTCCATGATGCAGTGTGCAACCACGCATTTGCAGAGAAATCAAATCATAATTTACATTTAGACGCTGCGAAAACAGCAGCGGTGTGACTTTATCTGGCTCCATTGTGAACAGCAGTAATTTGAATCAAGATTGCGTTGTTTTTTCAGGCCTATAGTGACACAACTTGTGGGTCCTCTTCATGAGAACCGAAGCAGGATGGGGACAGGAAGTGGGCGGGGCTAAAGGATTGAGAAGCGTGTAAAAGGCCATCTCCAACATGTGCTTCATTTTTCTATGACTGGAGTCTGGAGTTACAGAAAGTTAAGGTTTTCAGAGGGTATGATAATGCCCATATTTGGTCAATTTATGGGGCGCACAAGATGAAGAATAGAGCTGCAAGAATAATCGCAAATTTGACCAGATACAAGCAGTAAATTGCAAAAACACTGCATTATTCAAAGCCGAGGTACACTTTGGTTCTATCATTAGTATCACCACTTATCACATGCATGTATTTCAGTCCATTTCTGGCACTAAATGGACTAATAAAGGGGAAGTCCATGACATCATACGTATTTTAGGCCTCTGTCACATCTGTAGATAAGGCTTTCAAGACCGAAACTTGAAAAAGAGAACCACCCTCACATAGCCAATCCTCTCACTGCCCAAAGAGTCATATAGTGCCTTACGTGGCTCTTTATACCAAATATATAACAAATTGATTTCTAGTACGAGGAAGACGGCGTTTTGTGATCACCATTTTCAGCATTGACCCAAAAAGAATTCCCCAGCTTTAAGGCCTTTGTCCATAAATAGAATCTCCTGATTTAGGGTTCCCACAGTCCTCACGCTCCATAACTTTAAGCTCGACAACAATAGAAGACACATATTATGGGCATTTATCAACATTTATGGAAATTGGTCATCTGCTTTTTATGGACCAATGTCTCTGTTTTTTTGTTTTGTTTTTTGGGTTTGATTCTCTGATCTGTGTTGGCGAATTCAACGGGTTTGTTAACTCCTCAGAGATAACTACTGTCGTGATTTAGGGCTATAAAAGAATACATTGAATTGAACAATCGAAGATGAACCCACATGGTAATATAAGTGTTTAGCCAAATACTCAGTTACTGGAGTCTTGTGCAACTTAATCTGTGCTAGTTTTTAAAATTTGTTATCTAAACTCAACTTTCAATGGATGCTGAGAATATGGGTAACTTATGTCTACTTTAATAGATGTGTGTATTAATGGCATTTAAAATATACTAAATGTTTTCAAAGCAGTGGGGTTTGTAGCACGTTGGAAAGGACAAGCTCGACATTTATCATGTAGTATCATGAAATAACATACCAGCGGGAAAAAAACACACACTCACAAGTGAACCTAACAAGCTTCCGTACTAGACAAACCAATTCCTTTAAAAAAAAAAAAAAAACATATTTCTAAGACTTAGACAAATTACAAATTAAAATGACAAGTGTAAAAGATAAAATACCATTGTTAAACGTATACACACATAAGAATAGTGCAATTAGTTTGAAATACATAATAAATGCATAATTGTGCTTTTATACTAAAAAGTTCACATGTTAAATATACTGGTTATATATATTCTAATGGGCGTAAACTACGTCACTGCTTAGTTATCCATAAAACATTGGTCTGAGACGTTGCCCATCATACGTCACTTTACTTCACTGTACTGCTGTCACCTTACATTGTGTGCACCATGTGCACTTGTATATTGTAAATAGTAACTGTAACTCTATTTTAAATTTAAATTTATTCTTTAGAAGTGTTTTTTATTCTTATTTTTATTATCTCTTTCTGACTGTTGCACTGAGCCAAAGCAATTTCCAAGTCTGTGACCTCCCGTTACTTACGTTGGCAATAAAAATGATTCTGATTCTGATTCTGATTTTTTGAGACTCAGGTTCCACACATGACCCATTCATTAATGACAGTATATGCTACAGTTAGCACATACCCATGATGTCAATGCCATTTTCTCATGAAAGCAGTGTTCCAATGGCACCAGCCTCACAGCGCGGAACAAGACAGGACAAGAACAGAAACACATCTCTGGCCTTCTTTAAATGTTTACAACCCCCACCAAGCCATCTGAGGTAAAAGGCCTCCACAAACGATCACACTGTTTGAACATTAAAAAGGGGTGGACCTTCTAATAGCATAGTTGTTGATTGATTTATTCCCTTGAATGCAGGGACACACTCAGATTAGTTTCAGTCAACCATTTATATGGGAAAAATGCAAAAATCAGAGGCCATGGTGAAAATTAGAAGATTTTGCTACTTTTTAATCCAGTGAATGCCTACAGTGGTGTGGGTACAGTTGAAGTCAGATTCCAAATATGTTGTTTTGTAAGTTTGACTGAGCATAGACCAATCACAGTGATAATTTTAGGAGGGATACTGAGGAGAAAGTACTAAAGAAGGTTGTATACGCTACGGAAATATTTTAGTATGTAATACTAAATATACTGCAGTCCACAAATCCCATTTAAATTCTGTTCATCTAAATTATGGATTTGACTTTTACAACACGTGGCCATCCATCCATCCATCATCTTCCACTTCATTAGTTGCTGGGTCGCGGGAAAGCAATCTCCAATCAGACGCCCAGACTTCTCTCTCCACACTCACGTCCTACAGCTCATCGTTCCCAGGCCTTCCCCGGGTTCTCTCCCAGTGGGACACCTCCTCATAGAGGCATCCCAAAACAGATGCCTGAGCCACCTCAACTGGCTCCTTTCAGCGTGGAGAATCAGTGGCTCTACTCCGAGCTCCTCCCGTGTGACTGAGCTCCTCACCCTGTCTCTAAGGGAGCGCCCAGCCACTCTGCGGAGGAAACTCATTCAGACCGCTTGTATCCGCGATCTCTTCCTTTCGGTCTTTACCCAAAGCTCATAATCAGAGGTGAGGGAGGGAACGTAGATCAACAGGTAAATTGAGCGCTTTGCCTCTTCACCACGACGGCCCGATACAGCGACCGCATCACTGCACACGCTGTACCGATCCATCCGTCAATCTCAAGATCCATCCTTCCCTACTTGAAGGTGTACTTTGAGCAGATAACTCCAGGGTATTGAGGGATTCTTTTCCCTTTGAAATCTGCCACACACACAAACACACACACCTGGACACTGACAGCTCGAAGAACCAATCAGCTGTCACGGTGCAATCACAGACTCCTCATCAGCCCCTTTACTTTTGACATTAAAAATAGTCAATGTTTAAAATATAGAGTAGTACAGTAAAACATCAGCATACTGTTTTATGGTAGGTAGCCCACAATGCACTCTAACTACAGTACTTAACCATTAAATACAAAAAACGGTTTTACAGTTGAAAATTGGCTGTAAATAAACCAAAATGTATTAAAGTGTGAGTAATAAAAAACATCACATTAATTTACTTTCTATACTTTTTACAGATAAAAGTGACTCACAGGCCTCTTTCTCACAGGCCTCTTTCTCACAGGAATGCAAAAGATAACATGTGGTCTAATTTGTATAGAAAATTTTACTTTTACAATCCTTTCTGGAGACAGTTTAGATTTAGATCCTCACGCTGAGACGCTTCAGTAAAACGTGTCTTTACTGTGAGCGAGTCTGCATCTTCACAGACCTGACTTGTGCTTGTTCATGGAAATGCATTTCATTGGTCCTTGTCCACAGTGCAGAAGAAAACATATCCATCATTAAACTTGTCACAATAATTACTGTATTTAATTATTTTTCAACAACTGATTAATGGGACTTATATTTTGGGCTCAGTATTTACTGTACTAGTGTTGTCACAATACAACATTTCAAACATAAATCTCAGAAACCAGAAGAAAAAAAAAATAGTACAAGTAATTTCATTTTTTTTCATTTTACAATAAATTGATGCTTTTAACTCAAAACAGTACAAATTTGACTGATATTGTTAAAAAAATGTATCATAAATGATAAAATGTATCAAGAAATGCAAAATATTGTATGTAGTTATTTTTTACATTGATACTTTCTCAAATTAGTTTCTAGTTTGATAGTATCTAGTACTTTTGGCAATCCTCTCTAGACTGTACTTTTTTTTGCAATGACAGACATATTTGTCACTTCCTTTACAAGTCAGCTGCAGATGGCTGAGTAAGACAAATGAATGGGTACATTATAAGGTTTATGGTAAACTTTGGTAAAAGTATACGTGTCCTCTACATTTGACCCATCCTGCTATGTGGGTCAAGAGCAGCGCCCAGGGACCCATCTCCAGATGTGGACGCTCGACTGGGTGAGGACGACCAGAGGTGGAGGATATTTACCTATGATGCAGGTTATTAGGTGGTAGAAAAAAACCGGAGCGCCTGGAGGAAACCTCTCTACTGAAAGGCCCTGGCTGTATGGGTCTCAAACCCTCAATATTCGTGCGACTAATTTGTCATAAATCTTGGTCTATTAATTTTGTTTGGAGATAAGCTTTTGCTTCATCCAACCCCCTTTTGAATTATGTATTTATTAAAGTTGATGTATGGGGAAAACAAGCAAGTTCAAAATAGAAATAGATATTTTTTTTTTTTTTAGATTCTTGAATATTATAAGTTATAAAGAAACGTTTCTACTTCAAACTCCAACTGTTCAGTCAAGTTGTGGAGAGGGTCTTGTTGCCAGAGGAGTGAGTTCCTCTCAGACAAAAAGTGCTTTCAGATGACTTTTGTTTGGTACTGGGCACTAGCACAGTGAGACTTTTCCATTTATGATTAACCATTTCCTGAAGCAGACACTGGGCCTATATGCATGACAAAGTTAAACTTTTGAGCTGAGAGGGCTCTTTACTGTCACTGGACTGCACGTCTCTGCACACACAATGCAATTATTATTTCTTTAAATTAGATTAGTGGAAAAAGCCCAGTCTATAATAATACATAGCCTATATGAACACTTTGAGCAAAACTATGGCATTGTTCCGTTACATCATAGAGAAGCAATGCAGCTGTTACACATCAGGAAATAGCAAGAACTACTCCAGAAAACAATGTCATAATTCACTTCAGAGTTTTTCCTGATAACAAGCAGCTGACATGTATTGAGCAACTTGCTACACGAGAAAAAATAACCCGGGTATCTAAACATAGACCTTTGAAACCTGTAAGTTTAGTTTAGTCTCATTTTAAATTGTTGCATTTAAGTCCTTAAATAAACAGGATCGTCACTTTGTAAGTTTGAACAAAGATTAAGTCCATATAGTTGGCCTTACCTCTTCCCGGAGCTGTGCAGAGTTCAAGTTAATTACAGGTGGCTTGAGACTCATCTGACAGACATTTGTGCTCACAGATGTTTATGTGGCCAATATATATATAAAAAAGAAAAATCGAAAACCCGTACGAAATTAAATGAGCCCACTTTAGGCGTAAACTAGGTCGCTGTAATGAAGATAAAATAGTGCAAAAGCGTGCTCACTTTCACTTGTTCAAAAGTGACTTCATCCCTGTCCCACTTCTGAACGCTCTCGCCGACAGAAATTCAACTTTTTGCCCCACCTTGGTTTGGCTTCTGCACATGCGCAGTAGTGATACGCCAAAACTAAAAATAGGACACGAGGGGAGTTTGAGTGATACAAGTTATCTTAAGACAATAATAAAAGAATGAAATGCCACTAGAGATTGATTTATTTGACAATGTTTTGCACATCAATATTCAACGTCAGACAGAAATTGTCATGTTTTAAAGTTGACTCAAGTGCAAAGTGATGTGATGAGAAAAGTACTTCCTTTTGTAGGTTTCTAACATGAATCTTTCTCAACCTGATCTGTAACATTGAGAACCAAATGGAAAGAATGCACTCTCCTGTTTAAGATAACGGTCACATTTTGTAGAAAATTTCAACTGCCCCAAACAAGGAACTATGGAACACAGTGCTTAGACACCCCCCTGGTGGCTAAAATACAAAATGCACATTCATCACTGCTGGCGAAGGCAAACCAGACTTGTTTCAACAGATGGGACAAAACGCATCAAGCCCGTGGAATGTTGGGATAGGACGCAGCCGCAGCCCTAGTATTTTTCAGAGTAATTCACCAAAGCTAATTCCCTGTAATCAAACATTAACTTGAATGCAGTCATCCAACCAACCTGAGATTAAAACTAACTCGAATAGAAGCTACATTTGGACTTTATACCATTTAAACCCACCTAATGTGCGTTTAACGCTTCAATGCCACACACTGTAATAAGTGCCTCACTTTTGGACACATCAAAAACCAATGTGGTCTGACTCCCAAAACCCTGTAAGGGTCCATAAAGCAGCAACGGAACGCATTCAAAAGCTTCCCAGACCAAGGCTATCTCACATTGTATCTCAGCCGCTCCATTCACTGCTGAAGGCCTTTTCTTTTTTAGAAACATTGAAGTTCCGTCTCCCTCAATAGAACGTAGCAGCAAGTAAAAAAAAAAAAAAGATTGCACTGCCATCATGCTTTTTTTAAACAAATGAATTGTGACTTTACGATGTTGTAGAGCCCTTGATAAAACAGCTTAATTAACAATAGCATAATCTCACTCAAGAAGCTGCCTCATCGGGTGGCTCAAGCACCCGGTTTCACATTGCTGTCAATGGAAAGCATGAATAAACATATCACAACCTAATACAAATAATGGAACTAAGCATGGCAGAATGAAAAATAAGTTTGGCTTCAAATGCAAACTTTTTAAAGTAATAGATTGTCTACTGATTCTTAAATGTTCAATAGAATATAAAGAAAAGATTTGCCACATATCATTTTAACATCAGATATTGCAGGATACCATATCTTCCCTCAAATAAAATCTTTTCATTTGAAATAGACCATATCTTTGAAATGGACCAAGATCAAAGGCAGATAACACAAAATGCTTTAAATGTTTCATATGATTTCTGGTGGAGGAGTAAACTTGTTTTACAGTATGACACTAACAGGTCGTCGTAGCCACAGAAAGGCCTTTTTCTCCAAGCAATACACACAGCTGTAATTGGAGGTGGACAAAGAGTGAGTAATTGCCTCACGTAATATTCCAATCAAAACAATATCCTCTGAATGTAACAGATCAGCCTCCACCAGAAAGTCACAGAATTAATGTGTTTATGGAATCCCCAGTGTCTGGTCCCTTTATGCAGAGTGCAGTGGGATGACAAACTTGCATCCAAATGGAGAATGGAACTTTATCCCTACTTCCTGGAACACCTGTCGAGGTATACCTATGTCACACAAATACACTCTCCCAGCCCCCTCAGCCAGCGCCAAAGGGAGGCAAAGACACAGTGACCATTTGGCCTCCACCGCCTGCCCCTGTCCACTTGAAGGAGGGTCCAAGCTGAGGACTGGGGCCCGGTTCTGGTTTGCCCAATCTGCTGCTGCTCTGTACCATGGCTGATCCATCAGGAATGTGTTTTCATGGCAGTCCAGACAGTTAATGATTAGGTCCACTGGTGTGTCCGGAAGATCTGTGGCATGAAAACATTGACATCAAAAAAGGCACAGGGGGAACATAAATGAGAACAGATGTGCAAGTTTGGGATCCCCTGATCTCCTGATGAATATTAGCCCACTAAAGGCACGGTCACACAGGTTTTTACGAAATAACTAGGCGAAGTGGCCTGGATCGTTGCCACAGGGGTGTGAAAACGGCCCGCGGTCACAAGAGCGTGTTTTCGCAAACGTACCAGAGCAACTGTGCGGTGTAAACAACGCTCGGTCCAGCTGGTGGCGCTAATACTAACTTAAGCGACGACCTCGTTGTCCGAGTTAAGTTTCCGTTTCTCTTCCTGTTTACAATCTGCCAACAACTAGAGTACGGATTGCGTTGTTTAGGCAAAGACACATCTCACACTTGTCCACATTGTTCTGATGCAAAGTGAAGCATTTCAGTGGATGACGTGTGTACGGTAGTGTGCGTGAGAGACGTGTGTAAAAATGTCCGTCACAACGGAAGACGTAATGTGAAAGCGTGCCTTGGCCCACCTCTCTCAACCGTGCCCTAATATGGGCAACCCAGTCTTTGCTAGAATCAAAAGGTCACTAATAAATGCAACAACCTTCAAACTGTGTGAGAAAATATACGACAGAAAAATTGTTAAGGCCCTTAAATGATCTTAAATGCATATGCATGATTATGTTTCCACAGTACAAATAACAACAACAACAACAACAATCCCTGTGACTCTGGGCTAATGCAAGGATGTAGTAGTATTGAATGATAATTTGTGGCAGAAAGTCTGGATTGCTTAATGGGTTTTAAAGCGGTGCAGAGAACTTGGGATCTCATATTTTCCTTATGTGCTTCTGGGGTGAAAGGTTTGTCCAAAATGCCAATAACAAGGCATGTTTTTGACAAGGAAACAATGTTGTAACTAACAGTTGTAAAAAGATACAAAAAGAAATAATCACATTTACATATTTGTCATTTCATATTTCCACAGTCTGAATACTAAGCATCTAAATTAGTGTTGGAACAAAACCCTGCTGCCACATCGTCCCTCTCTGGAACCAGTTTGACAACCCTGATCGAAATGATGCTTACCTTTAACATTTGACACTTGTTTGCCTCCTGTTTTGTTGAAGAGGGAAAGCTCACTTGTGACACAATCGAGCATCTTGACAAAATTGGGCAGAAAAAGAATGACTTCGACTTCATGATTGGACAAGTGGCGCCCGCAGCTGATGCCCTGGGCTCCCTGAACGTGAGGCCCACATAGGACAGCAACTGTTGGGCGCTGATGGAGATTTTTTGGGGTAAATCTGGAATCAACAGTGCATCAAGATTGTTATGGGGCTATACTACAGTTAAGAGGTACTGAAGAATCATAGTTTACACAAAATTATTGACTGGTAAACGTTACCTGTTCGGCCCTCCGAGGAGCGTCAGGGCCATTTGACTCGCACAGACACCAGTCATCTCAAGTCGTCTATCCAGTGAGAGTCCGTAACGCTCCGCAACAGTTAACAGCCTCTTCTGCAGTTCATAGGAAATACTTGGGACCACCAGCCCTGAATCTGTGGGAAAAAAACATTACTTAAAATTGTGGTTTCATTTATGAACTGCAAACTGCTACAGTATACATACCAGTGCAGTACTCTTTGTCCGCTGGCTGAGGCACTGCAATTTGTCTGTACACAATAGGTTTGGCCTCTATGATGTTTTCGTCGTGGCGATAGCGTGAAGGCGTCTGGTCTTGGGGCGTTCCTCTTGATCTCGCTCCATTTCGACGCTCCGAATCAATCTCAGTAAAAACTGCAGCTTTGTCAAAAAGTGCCAAATTTCCTTCAAAGTCAAAGTCAGTGCCCAGGCCGTCGTCCATTCCATCACCAAAACACTCATCGTCTCTCGGCTTCATTTGGCCGCCACCGTTTTTCATTCCATTCTTTTTTGGGGTGACTTGATTTGCTTTGCTACTCGAGGACCCTAATGACAAAAGAACAAAAATGCAATAATTGTGTGAAAATACCTGTATTCATTTTTTTCATTCATTAAATATGTATTTGTATAGCGACACATTTGTACACAGGCTTACTCAAGTGCTTCACAAATAGGCAATTAAAAAAACAAATATTGAATAAAACAAAAAGGTGAGTTAAAAAAACTACCAGAAAAAAACCCTTAAAATTCAATATACACCAGATATATATAATATATCTGAGATCAGAATACAATGTCAAATCAAGTTAATCCAAAAAAAATTTAAATCTGTCATACACATAGTTGAACAGAGCTGTTTGAACTCAGACTATAAAGCCTAGAGTACATCGACAGAGTAACTGGAGATAACTAGATGATGGAGATGATCAGTTGCCGAAATCGGTCGATGTGAGCGCTCTTACAACCAGAGATAAACAGTCGATCTCCGGATTCAGTCTGTTGCCTGTGTTCTACTTTTCGGCAAATAGTTGTCCTCAGATCCGGAGATATCACCCGATGTGCGCGCTCCAAATAGATCCATGGCGCGCTCCAACAACATGTGTGTACGGTGTGTATTGCGAGCCCGCAACAGTTTATGTCAGAAAACACACTGTAGTTGAGGCCAGTCGCTGTAGATGTACGCGCTGTTATTCCCGAGACTGGTCTGCTACTAGGAGTTGTCCATTTTCGCCAGATTGTCGATGTGTGCGTGGCAGCAACCCATATGCAACGGATATAAACAGTTGCCAGTCCGATATACGCTAGGCATAACATTATCAGAAGAGCCATATCAGCCCCCAGGAAGAATCCAGTTTCATAAATCTGGACTCGAGACTTTGTTCTCATCTGTATTCAGACAAATGTCATTTGTGACATTAATTAAAGCAATCTCAGTACTATGATGAGGCCTGAAGAAAGACTGAAAAAAATTGCCACAAAGTTTGTTCGCCACCGAAGTGTCAGAAAACAAATTTCTCCAAAAGCATCTCAAAAAAACAGCAAATTTGAGAAATTGAGATGGGTTGATAGTTTTTTTTTAACAATAAAAAGTTTAACAGCCCTCAGGACAGCTGCATCATGCATCACTTATACTAACAAAGGCAAATTATGACAGCTCCAAGAGGGAAACTGGCACTGAAACGGCATTTGCATTTTTGATTACCTGTATTTTATATGAAAAGTGTTAACCAATGCATTGCACTTAAGAGATAGAACCCAACTCTTAGTATTTTAACAAAAGAAGTTCCCCATGCGACCACCAAGCTGTAGTAACTTACATGAATTGTGTCTTTTTCGAAATCCCTTTGGCTGTCCAGGTACATCCTGGTGACGCTCTCCGTAGCTTTTGGAGAAGTGCTGAGGTGAGTTCACCTTCTCCACTGTTCTGGGGTCACCCTTTGGCACAGCAACAGGAGTCGTGTTTGTCTTTGCAGACGTACCATTCTTTGTGCTGCCTTTCCCAAAATCCAATATCTTTAGATCCTTAATGTCAATAGCGCTGCAAAACAAAGATATTTAAGCACTCATAACAGCAATACAGTCTATGGGCCAAACAGACAGCATTGCAGTTTACCTGAACGTCACCTCGGGGACAGGGCATTTGATTCCGTTGTGGAAAGGGTGTCTTAATGAAATAGTTTGAGTGATCTGGTCCACTGATGACACTTCACCTTGGTACATTCCAAGAGTTGGTCCGCAATTAATGGACACCAAACTACCCAACCAATCCGCAGCCATTTCTAACAGAATAAAACAAAATAAACAAATAAACACAATATAAAATATTCACAAATTGTTACGCCGCTTCATTGGGAGCTTATTGAAATAAAGAAAAAAAAGTTATTTTGATGCGCCAACACTAGAACTAAAAGGCTAACACAAGCTAGCTAAACTGTGTAGCATTATTAGCATCGGCTTCTTACATCGTCACATACCTTTTTACTTGTTATGACTTTTTTATCTTTAGCCTTACGTGCTTAACGACACGTGAATATACACAATTAAGACTAGCAGACCCAACAAATGTATGTAAATATTGTAACGCTCCTTCTCACACTCGCTCCTGCTAAACCTGGTGTACTGCTTCCGGTCTTTCATATGGAGTTTCCGGTCGCCTTTATCCAAAATAAAACCAAGCTGCTTATTTGCTTACTACAGGTAAGAGTGACTTTTAGACTAACCGCTATAGAATTTTGCAATTATTTTGTTAGTACATACAATTATCGACAAGCTTGTTTCATAAAAGGCTATCCTTGTCAATTCAACCAATTAATTTAAAAGCATCACGCAAACCAACACAGCACTTCATGATCTCACATCTCAATTTATTAAGCCGTTCCTCAGATCTTCTAAACCTTCTTTGTGGGTGTTCCTTATGCAAACCTGAAAGGACAATTTCTCCCAAATAAATGACGTCTACCATGCTATTATAATTCCTCTACTAAGATTTTGTATTAAATACTCAGAGAAGCCTGCCCCGAAAGCCTAAAAAGTAGTGGCATTAGACTAAAACTGTCAGTGAGTAATAGATCATTTCTAATCGAAAAAGACACATGGTAATGTTCTGCCATTACCAAAAATAAACCACGTCGAATGTCTATTGCTGGCTGTCAGTGACACAATCCGGCATTGGCTATCCACCACTTTGTTAACAAAGCCCATTGACTTTACAAAGTCAAACTTTGCGTATTATTAAATCCTAAGGTTCTGGCTGGTCAGGCTAAAAACAAGGGAAACAAATGTGATGTCTTGACACAGCCAGGAAAAAAACAGTGGCCAAACAAATCATGGAACAGAAGGCTTTGTTGAAACATTTATCATGACTTTTAATCATTTTTTGTATACACTGCAAGGCAATAAACAGTAATATTTTATGTAGACCTAAATGAGTAAGAGCAGTAATGAGTAAAAAGACAATTATTCAGTTAGTTCCATTGTTGGACAAATTCATGAAATAACAAACTGCATTATGTGTATATGTGCTACGACACAAGTACTTTATTTAGATTTAAATTAATCATATTACAGATCCTCATCCGCCATGTCGACATCTTCTTGTAACTTTTGCACCATCTTTTCTTCCAACTGTTTGGCCTTTCCTGTAAAATGAGAAAAAAAAAATATTCTCTGATCTGTGTTTGTGATTTCAATGGTTTTGTTAAGTCCTCTGAGATGACTTCTGTCGTGATTTAGGACTATACAAGAATAAGTTGTTGTTGTATCTCACCTGCGTGTGGAGCTCTGATGAGGTGGATGTTTTTCTTGACTTCAATGATTGCCTCTTCCTTTTCCAACTGCTTTCCCTTCTTCAATCTAAAAAAAATAAATAAAAGAACATTAAAAAAATTATTTCATTACATAATAATAGAGAACAAATATCAGGACTTAAATAGTAATGCACACTTTATTGAATAATGTTTCAGGCAGGATAGAAGTTAGAGCATGTCTTTACTTTAGTCCAAAGACTAAATGGTTGACTTTATTTCCAATTTCAAGAGTTAAGCAAGTATTTTAAAATAATATCAACATATTTATTCCTTGGATATTTTTCTTGTACCATTATTTCTGATATTTTCTACTGTTCATCTCAGCATCACTATACTTACAGCCTTTTGATTAGGAACGCTTCCCATACAAGCCATTATATTTTGTTTAAATGGAACTACAGTGAATGCAGAGGCTTACCTGTTCATAATAAACCTTGCCTGTCGCTTCAGTTTGATTTCTTCCACCTTCTTCATAGCTTGAACTAAAGAAAAAAAAAAGTTGAATATCAAATGGTTTACTTTGTACATGTGCATCAAACAGGCATGAAAGTCAAAATTGTACATTACCTGTCTTGTCCCACAATTCTCTGTTGTATTTGATAGGGGTAGTTCTGCGTTTTTCAAACTCTAGACAATTGTCCTGCAAAGATTCAAATGAAATTGAGATTGACATACTTCCAATACAATTAAAATAATTCAGAAGGGGCTACAGTAATTAACACAATCCAGAAGGGGCCACAGTAATTAACAACAGTACATGACTATATAAACTCACCACTGTCAGCTCTTTTCCTGATGCCTTCCTGAAAGCTTTGGTCCATCTTGTTTTTCTGGGATTACGCTTCTTTTTGAAGTTCTTTACGCATTTAGATCGACAAAACCTGAATGTCTGGAAAAAATACAATCATCATTAGAAAAATACATAATGAACTGACGCCTGTGTGTAAACATAGCACCACTAGAGGTCGCTACTGAATGGGACTAAGCGCTCATATTAATGTCTCCCCGAAACAGATAAACGCACTTAAATGACAAGCAATCCAGCCAAATTACACATATGAATACCAATGTGTATGCAGAGGATCGTGAGGGGATGTTAGTCACGGTTTGTTTCTGTATTATGTAACTGCACGCACAATCTCTATTCCACGTGAGTGAAAAAAAATGCTAACAAGCTAACACCAAATCATAAACAGCTCCACAGCGTAAGAAACCACCTCTTTATGGTTGGACAAATGGCCGTACCTTACAGTCGTTTCGTACAAACATGACTCCATGTCCGGGATACACTGGTCCCGAACAGAAATAACACTTTTCGATGCGCATTTTGCCGCAGATGAGATGCGTGTAGCACCGATGAGAAGCCCGTAGCTCCGAGAAAAACAAGTTCGCCCCGTGCTCCACTTCCGCCCTCACAAGAGCTGGCGCCACCTGCTGGACCTGCGCCTAACTACATGTGTTAGACGCAGTTATTATTGTTTGTGGCAGCAGACACTGTTCAAGTGCCTATTTTATATTGTATTTTCGTTGAAACCACAAACAAATAATAACTAATACAATTCATCTAACCAGGTCCTCTTGGTTCTATCACTTGTTTTCACATTAAAGTAGAAATATGTGAGACTTTCATCATGAAATGGCCCTAGTTTGTCAAAAGGCATTAATAAATCATGTTCTTTTAGAATACTTCTTTAACTGATAACATTAGATCAGCCGAGAGTTTTACAGCCCCTAAATCTTGTTATTGTTTAAATTTCGATATCCCACCCTCCACCGTTTTACCAATCAGAAAGTCCATGATAAGGAAAACATGTAATTTCCTTAAACAATACTTCTCATTACGTTTGCTTGTGTAACATAGTTAATGAGTGTACTTAAATCTGGGTAAATCCTCTGAAAATCTTGTTTTAAGAAAGCCAAAAGGGTCTTAAATCAAGAAAAAAAACATTTGATTCAATCATATAGGACCTTGTATGTAATCGAGGCAGCCAAATCTGTTGGTGTCTAGTTTCCATTTGTTTTTTCGCATGATGCAGGTTTATGTTTTTGTTGTCAACATCTATGATTGTGCTTGTGTGTTGATTTTGTACCCACAAATAGACCACAAACAGGTTATTTTTTCATGACAATTTTATTTTCTAAAATTTGTGACAAATTCTTGAGAGTATCAAAAGGTCTGTTGCAACATTACAACTCTTAAAATAAGCTGTTTCAAACTGGCATTACGATGTATTTGGTTTCAAAAGCTGAAATCATAAGTTAAATAAGCAAGAACAGTAAAGTCTACATTCTAAATCTACATTTTTGGCACCTGAGGTAAGTCAGCAAATTCACATGAGGGAATCAAGAAGCAATCACATACAAAATTTGGGACTAATCAAATAATTTAGAAAAAGCCATATAAAAAATGGGAAACTTTTTTGTTCACAATAGCAAACTAAAACAAAAATCAATCATTTTCTTTACAACCTAAGTTTCATTAAGGTGAAAAAATGGTGGACAAATACGGCAGAACAGCTTATGATATCTCAAGCTTAATCACCTATAGTAACAAACCCAATAATCAAAACGCATTTTGAAATGAAAATAATGTGAAAACCAAAGAAAATTACTAAATAAGAGAAATTTTTACATTTCTTTGGTTAGGATTATTTGTATTACAATATAAAAATGATTATGTTGCTGTTCACACATAGGGTTATCCGTTTTTTTGATAGTCAGAATCCTTCATTGTCACACCTAGACAAATAACATGGAGAAATTAAGAATTCTTCCCCATTACATTAAAAGCACGCTCAAGAACGACAGATGACTCTCCGAAACAAATATATAACATCATCTGCGTTCGAGCAGTTGTAAGTACTTTAATTCAACCCTGTTTTTATAAAAGACTGAATGAAAAGCCTTATGAGGAAGCAGACAACTCTTTGGATTATAGCATCGGTATCACCTCTGCGTTTGCAAATGGTCTCAAAGGCAAATGGGACACAAGCCAAAATGACCTGCGCTAAAGCTTTCACTAGAATAAAGCATTCCGATATACACAGAAGTAAAGCACCATAACCATTTGTAGTTCATCTTACGGAAAATGTACATCATTTGGCAATAAAGGAGAACAATATTTGGCAATCGTACAAACCCACAAACTTCTTTTTGGTTGCCGTAAAATATCTAAGCTTGCATTTTGGGTACAATTCTTCTTGTCTTTGGATCTCCGCTTTGGAAGACCTTTCAATATTAAGGCCATGTTAAAGCTTTAAAATAGTGCAATGGAAATGCCAAACTAATTTTTATATATATTTTTAAAGCTCAAAATAGTCTGGCAATTTCTAATGCACTTGTATTGGTTTTTTTTCTCCACAACATACGTCAAAAATTGTTTCAAAAATTGTTTCAAAAATTGTGAAACTAAAGCTCATCCAATCGTTCAAATAAAGCTGGCACATCTGGAAAAAAAACTACCTTCTTTGGAAATACTAACGCCCTCTGGAGGTAGAAAGACTCGGTAAAAATTGATTACCTTGTCCCTGAGATGGAGGATAATAATACTGCACATTGTATAGTCAAAAGGAGGTAGTAGCATACAAAACAGTGAGGTAGATAAACAGTCTTAAGATGCTCCAGTGGCTGAAACATTAGAAATATGAAATCAGGCATTACATTATGACCACTGTTACAAGATGAGACACTGGGGATCCAGGAAGCAGGTGTGACCAAAGATTGTTATAGTAGAAGCAATAGATAGTAGTAGTAGGAGCAGTAGCAGTAGCAGTAGCAGTGGTTGTGGGAGTAGCAGAAGTAGTAGTAATAGTAGTAGTAGTACTAGTAGTGGTTGTGAGAGTAGTAGTAGTAGTAGTAGTAGGAGCAGTGGGAGAAGCAGAGGCAGTAGCAGCAGTGGTTGTGGGAGTAGAAGTAGTAGTAGTTGTAGTAGTAGTAATAGTAGCAGAGGTCGTGGGAGTAGCAGAAGTAGTAGAAGTGGTTATGGGAATAGTAGTAGTAGTAGTAGTAGAAGTGGTTGTGGGAGTAGTAGAATCAGCAGTAGAAGTAGTGGCAGTGGTTGTGGAAGTAGTTGTAGAAGTGGTTATGGGAAGTAGTAGTCGTAGTAGTAGTAGTGATTGTGGGAGTAGCAAAAGGAGTAATAGCAGTAGCAGTAGCAGTAGCAGCAGTAATAGCAGTAGTAGCATCAGAAGCAGGAGTAGTAGTAGCAGAAGCAGAAGCAGTAGCAGTAGTGGCAGCAGTAGTAGTAGTAGTAGTGGTAGTGGCAGCAGTAGTAGTAGTAGTAGTGGTTGTGGGAGTAGTAGAAGTGGTTAAGGGAGTAGAAGTACTAGTAGCAGAAGCGGTAGTAGTAGCAGCGATTGTAGTAGTAGAAGTAGAAGTAGTAATTGCAGAGGTTGTAGGAGTAGCAGAAGCAGAAGCAGTAGTAGTAGCAGTAGTAGCAGAAGCAGTAGTAGAAGTGGTTAAGGGAGTAGAAGTAGTAGCAGCAGAAGCAGAAGCAGTAGCAGCGATTGTAGTAGTAGCAGTAGAAGTAGTAATTGCAGTGGTTGTGGGAGTAGCAGAAGCAGAAGCAATAGTAGTAGTAGCAGTAGCAGAAGCAGTAGTAGTAGTAGCAGTAGCAGAAGCAGCAGTAGCATCAGAAGAAAACAGAATCTCTCAGTGCTCCTGATTCGAGGACAGGATTTAAAGGGGGTGATAACGTGGTCATGATGTCGCGCCTGGTCGACGTCAAACCGTACATTCTTATTGACATTCATCATTGGTGAGCTTTGGTTTTTGGACAATGACCGCACTCAGACAAGACACACAGGTAGAATAAATGGAAATAAAAGTTTACACCAAGCAAACATTCATACGTTGTCCTGAGGTAGGTCCGGAGTATACGCACTTTCCCCCCACACACACTGCAGCAGCTTAAGCTTCCTGATCGTTTTTGTGCCACCGGGAATGATACAGAGGCTCAACTTGGGAAGTAAACAATGAGGAGTCGGTGGCATAACTCTGGTCGTTTGGAATAAGCAAGGCCAGTTTGTTGTCACGATTCGACGTCTTGGATCAAGCGCTGGATCATACGAGGAGCTTCCCTGCCGCAGTGGAGAGAATCGGAGCCGGAGTGATGCTTGCGTCGTCCGAGAATCTCTTCATTCTGTACTTCCATCGACTGCTTTGTTTCGGAGATAGTGCAAACGTCGTCTTCCATGGGGCCAAAAGACGCAGGCCTGGAGTTCTGGGAGGTGGAGGGGTTGCTCATCTCTTCGTTGCTGACTTCGTTGGAGTAGTGTCCGGAGTCTCCCGTCTCGTGGCTGCCCTCGCTGGACTGGGAGCTCTCGGAGTGGAGGGGGCCGTAGATCATCTCTCGGGACGAAGGCGGGAGTGGCGCCGCACCCAAGCGCTCTTCGTACGTGAGGACGGTTTTACCAGCTTCGTACAAACTGGCTCGACTCTCGGCCTGAAGATAAGAAGAGATAAGATAGACTTTGTTGGTCCCAAAATGGAGAAATTTACATGTCACGTTTGGCATAAATAGGATCATAATAGTAAAGTGAAAGATATACTATGTACAATAAAATTAAAAGCGACTAAATAATATAATAATAAAAATAAAACTGTGTCTCTCGATGTTCAATGTCGTCAAATGAAAAACCCGGCACTTACGTCATTCTCTGCCGCGCCGTTTCTCTCTTTGCTGAAGAGCAGCCATCTTCGACTTTGGTTTTTGTTGTTGACTGGACCAGCTGTATTTATAATTATAGCGCCCTAAAACATACAAATTGGACAAATTGTATTTCTTTGGAAAATATTAAAACATAAGCATGTAACATTCTTTGCTTTAAGCTGGGGTGTTTAACTTTAAAACCACAAGAATCAGACATACATTCCATCTCAAACAGTTATATTATTTAAAACGGTCAAATCACAAATTTTCACGTTTCTTTGGTCTTTGTCTAATGTTTTAGATCAGCTTTTGCCGACAGACAATATAAAACAAGCAGATAACCCTCACGCAGCCCAAAGAGTCAAATAGTGACTTATGGGGATCTCTCTCGCAAAACATGAATAATCTATGAAACAAAAAAGTTACGTTCCTCAGATTTAAAACGCACAAATGCATGTGTTCTTCAGTGGCAGTGCTACTTCATATTAACAATAACATCTTTGTCATAAGTTATTCAGCTCAACAGTGCTTTTTAATGGTTTTCTTAAATTGGATTCATTTTTTCTTTGAATCTCTGAAACTTTCCAGTCTTACCTTGGCATCAGTGAAGTGATCGCTCATCATCGGAATCAGGGCCTCCACATTCTCCACCTGACGCTGGTTTGGAAGAGGGTGACCTGGTCTCAGTACGTCAGGGTTCCCAACAGAAATCCCTTTGTGGCCAGACATTTTTCTAAATGGAGTGAACAGAAAGTGGTATAAGAACCAACCTGGCAACAACAACTCAGTGAAACAGTTGGACTTGTGTACCTTGGTCTGCCTTTGCTGATGAGAATGAGAGCACACATGATGATGCAGGACAGAGCAATGCTCACGCCAACTATGATCCCTGTCATGGAGTTCTGGTCGATGTGATAGCGGCCGTCAGAAAACACTAGGAGGTAAACAAAACCACCAGTAAGAAACAAAATCAAAAGTAACAAAACATTTATTGTCATTGTTTGAATATTCATTGCACCATGCGTGTCAAGAACTTCATAAGACTAAATGGAACATCATTTTTGGTTTTGATTAGAAATATTTGAATTAAATTTAACTTTATTCTGGACTTTTGGTCCAATTTCCACTTTAAAAAAATTCCATTTTGATGTCTTATTGTAGTAATTATACTTTAGTAACAAAACGTCTTTGCATGTTTTGGACCAGGTATGGTTAATTGATTGATAAATTAG